ATAATTTCAGAGGTAACAAAAATAATGTCCAATATGAAACTGCTGCGACACTAACGATCACAAACGACAACTGCACATACTAACCAGGCTTTACTGTATCTTCATTTTAATAGTTTAATTTTATATTCAACTTGAAAGAAACTGTTTACGAATAACCTCTTTGTCATGAAAACTTTGGACTAATGGAATATATGAGGCCCCAGCTATATTGGATAAGTGTTGTACTTCATTCAATAAGATGATATTAAATTTTTTCACTAATTATTCACAGTACTGTACAATACTGGGATTTTTTCTTCTCCAGAAATTAAATACCGGTAACCTACACAGTTTTTACCTTCAGTTCCCAGCAATACGTTTGTGATGTAGTTAAGACGACGGCGTGGATATGGAAATCATGGTCTAACTTGGTTCACGATAAATCAGAATCACAAACTTTGTACCGCTGGAGACTGAGGGTTACTCTATAGTATATTAGGGATGTGATGCACTCTTAACAATGATGATAATAAAGGGGGGGGGGGGTGTTCTAGATGGCCACCAAGGTCCCTAGGGGCAGCATTGTGGTAGGAGTACAGAGGAGCAAGAGTCCTAAAAGCTCCAGGATTTTCACCACTTAACTATCCTTAAAACAATGAAGATACAATTAATAACAACATAACTTTACTTCTCTGCACCTTGGACTACTTCAAGTCTGATTACTACAAATAAACACACTTCAGCACCACTGCCCGGGCCACATAACATCACGTCACCCCATAAAGATTTTCTAATCAGATCAAAATTATTTACACAACTCATCAAAACAGTTCCCACCAAAAACTGAATTTCCAGAAATATAAATATATTTAATAGATATACAGCACTGTACTGTACAATAAACCCCAGCAACTTCATCTGTTTTAGACACTTTATGGCTACTGAACAAACATATGATTTTAAAATAATTCAGAATCCTCACACTCACCTGGTGACCTCACATGATTAACATTGTTGCTGCCTGCATCCACTTGGCTATTTAGTAACCTCATAAAAGTGGAGCATTGTTGGGTCACTTACCAACACATATTGTCTTTATATGAGTAGCACATAGTGTGGAGTCACTGCCCATATGTGAACCTCTCATGAAAAGTGTGTTATGTGGGAGGTAGCTGGCCAACTCTGCTTGTCCATGTGGTGACCTCACATGAGTAACAGCTTTATGTTGGGTTTCTCTGAATTACTCCAAAATTTTTGAGAGTTTGCCAGACTGTATAAAGTATTGTACTTTTATTCAATGTATTTACTAAAGCTTCAAGTGAATTTTAATGGCTGCATAAAACAACTTGGATACATATGCTTAAGCTTTCTTTAATATCCAAAATAATGAGGTGATATAATATTTTCAGTATCTAAAATGGTATATCGTCTTATTTTAAAAGTAATAAATATTGAAATAAAAATATTTGTTATATACTTTAAATAATTGTTATAAAATAAATAAACTTATTGCATAATTCACTCCCCAAATTATTTGTTCAGATCACCATTATGTAGACCAATTACATACCATCAGGTCCTATTCCCAGCCCTCGACTACAGCACCACCCAACACACCAGTACGTTAATGTGGACGCCAACATATGAGAGACCCTTCCCTTGAACAGTAACCTTGACCTCTGAGCATAAAAAACAAATGGTAAGCGTGATGACTACCAAGACTCAAACTGATCCGCCCAAAACTGTAATATTAGAGACAGACACACTCGATGAATGACAATATCCTCGACCAACACTGACCAAGGAGTAATGAGCTATATGCCATGCTAACTGTGGCATGATCCACACACAAACACAAATCATTTCCTACAATGTATAATAAAAACAGGAAATGTCAGGGCCATCATACTGTCTTATCATCTGCCATCTCAAAGTTTTCACTGTCTAAGGTGGCGGCAGATGAACTTAAAATGATTGTTACAGTATATAAAATCTATGAATACCAGTTTCTTTGTGAATAATTGTAAAACTATCTATTGTTTGCAATTACTTTTCTTACTAACACAGTTAAAGTACAGTACAGTACAGTACAGTACCTGCTATTATAATCTGCCACATACCAATTGTTTGTATATAAATATTTTGTCATTGGCAACATCCCAGTTCTAATTACTTTTGAGTTCTCTAATTCTCTTATTCTCATAACTGACAAAAAAATACATTTAACCCCTTCTCTATGGAGATGCCACTTTTAATATTTTATTTGGCTAATGCCAAATCATTTTATTCACCTCAGAGGCAACCCCATACACAAGGGGTTAAGAGCTGAATTCTTTAACAAATATATATACCCTGTCTTGTTTTTCACCTCATTCACACAACAGGTTGCCATAAAAAGCAATGTTCAAGGATCTCTACCATGAGCAATAGTGACAGAAATGAGAGACTAATCTTAATCTCATTTTAGAACAGCACCACTAAAGCCTTGGAACCCAAGGAAGCCATAAACTAGAATCTGAGAGGTCAAAGTTGCCCTGAAGGCTGACCACTCAGGATAGTGAGCTTGTACAGCACATATGCTGCCTGTTCTTCACTCGTCACGATCTGCCAAAGGGCAGGAAGCAAGATCAACCCACCAACCTCCAAGGCAGACCCTAGAGAGATGGCTGGAATCTGAGTCATTCTTTTCAGTTTGTTATAAAACGAGATTCAAGGATTCACAATAATGTGAATGTCAAACTTGAGCATCAAACCATGTTTAATGATAAAAATATTATAGTAAATCAGTGTTGGCAAACAGTGCACATGCAAGCAGGTGTGCATGTGTGCACACACACACACATTTCTTTTTCTCCTGCAACACAGAAGAGGGGAATAATAATAGCTACATATGCAAACACTTATAACAAATGAACTACTAAATGCTGGAAGGGAAGAGTTAGAAGGTATGGGGGAAATGAAGTCTTAACTGGTTAAGTGGAAACAAAGGGTAAAAGTTGCCAGTACTGTACCACTTGTTGTACTGTACATGAATACCAATGTTATCTTACTGACATGTGTAGAAAGAAAAAAGCAAGCTGAACATTTTAGGTGTTGATGTAATTGTTGTGTGTGCGACTGTATACATTTTTTACATCCTAGAAACACCAAGGTAGTGAGAGGAATAAATGTGTTGCTAAAGCTATGGCATCTCAGCCTAGATCCTTAAAGGGCCCCTAACTTAAATAATTCCCCAAGCTGGAGTTGTAATAATGTATATAACCAGCTCACTAATCTATGGTGTAATATTGGTTGCTAGAACACTGTCAAAGCACCAAAGAGACCAAGTAATAACTATATGTGTTATCTTATCCTCAGTTACTTTAGAAAAATCTCAGAGAATCAGGCCTGTTATACGACGTGTCCGTGAACTAAATTGCCTTATAATCCTTTTTAGATAAAAAAAAAAACAAGGCACGGGTAAAACGTGCCAAGCTCAGTTCCCTTTGCTTTGCTTGAATTTACTAAATTCAAATGTTTCAATGGTAAGTCAGTCACAGACGGTGTTGGACACCCCTGACTTACTTCCTACCAGGCTATATGTGTAATAAAACCTCCAACATTATCTGAGTGTAACCAACTCAATGACCTATCAGTAAACTACTACCACCTAACCTTAAGCCAAGTAAACAATGTGTTTTTGCTCGTAACAAGGCTACCTGGGTTCATACAAAGGAGTTTTAGTTACAAGACTAGCGAGGTCATCCTAAAACTATATCTTGCGCTTGCGAGACCTCACTTGGATTACGCAGTTCAAGTCTGGTCACCGTATTACACAATGTATATAGAATCCCTAGAAAGAATTCAGAAGAGAATGACAAGACTAATCCTGGGCATTAGGAACTTTGAGTAGAGAGACAGGTTAAAGTATCTTAACTTGCACTCCCTCGAGAGATGTAGAGTGAGGGGCGATGTGTTAGAGGTGTGTAAATGGAAGTCAGGGCTAAACAAAGGTGATACTCAAATTATCCAACCAGGAGCGAACTCGTAACAATAGTCTTAAATTAGACAAATTAGATTTAGACGCGGAATAGGTAAACATTGGTTTGGAAATAAGAGTAGTGGATGAATGGAACTAGTTACCAAACATCATCATTAACTCAAATACGCTGCATAGCTTCAAACATAAGTTGGATGCTTATATGAGCAATAGGGGTTGGGTGTAAATGGGACTGCCCAGTATGGGCCAATAGGCCCACTGCAGTTTTCTCCATTCCTATGTTCTTAAACTGGAGAGACAAAGTACCTCTCACAAATATTGTTGGTGTGTGAATGTGTGTTAGTGCATGTGTGCCTGCATATATAGTATGCAGTACATGTCAATGTGCTTGATTGTTTCATACATCATTCAAGGCCTTGCTTGAAATTACTACAGTATGTGATCTCCAGTCCAAATTCTTTGGGTTATGCAATGTTCAAATTATGGACATCTTAAGATTATACAACATGATTTTTTTAAACAAAAGTGTTCAAGAACTTGGTACACCTTCACTGCAGAGGAGCTTAAACAACTCATGCACAAGGTTAAAATGTTCAGCTGGTTTAACTCCATGCATGTTTTTAGTTAAATCACTCTCAGCATAAAAATTCAAAAGCCTTTCACACTCTTTCTTGATACTGTACATGGTCATGCACAACATAACACTTCCTTTAGTTACACACCAACTTGCACTTATTCAATTTCTATAGAATTTCAACTTTCTGCAGAATACAACAATCAGCATCATCAGTTGCTGAACACCACAATAAGGCCAAAATGAGTTTAAAAAGGGAGTGTGTGAGTGAGCGAGAGAGAGAAAACTATATAGCTGACTACTTTGGATTCAAAACGGTAAACAGTGACATGAGGGTGACGACAGTGAATGGTAAACAGAGCAGTGATCTTCAGAAACTGATGTGCAATTTTGATGGGAAAGTTTTGGATGCCTTCAAAATTTTGGATTTTCAGACTGGAGATCATGTACTGTGCTGTATCTCATAGATTTCATTAATTATATTTATTCATCTTTCTTCATCACTGCCACTGAACTACAACCTGAATTTCACCCACATTCTTCTCTTATGAGACACAACTTAAGATACAATTTTCAATTAAAGAATACAATACATCCTATTTAAATCCTATGTATAAGCTGTTTTACATTTTACTTACTGTATATATAAAAGTTGACTCAGTACAGGATTCCCTAACATGACATTATATATCATGAATATTACACAAGTCATATATCCTGTTCCCATAGTTTACAAAGTGTATTCATGGTACAACTAGTACATACCAGTTAAATACCATTTCACATAATAGATAAGGAAAAATAAACTGAATACTGTACAGTATTACAAAAGTTTTTCTTTAATACTAGCTTCAATTTTTGTAATTGTGGCACCTTATTTGAGATAAAAAGTGTTTGTATACTTATTAAAACTTTGTACCAATCATTGTTTCATTGTTTGGAATATTTAACAAATATGAAGTCATTGGCTAACCAGTTGTAGTGTCTAACTTCCGAATGAACGTAATAGCCCCTCTCCTTCATATAATCCTGTATGGCATCCTTCCCTTCTGGGTCGTGAATGAACTCCACTGACAGAGTCTGTAAATACACAACAATCATAAGAATTAATCATCATAAGATGAAACAAAACTTTCAAACTAAGTAAATTTTACCTCAAGCATATGTTTAATATCATTTTCCATCTTAAAAAATAATATTGTATAAGTATGAGACAAATATTAATTTGCTCAACCTTTCTCATCTGGGCCAAGTAATTTATACAGGAAACATTTTCCTTTATAATAATGAGCATAACTTCATACAACACATATCTCTTCTGTTCCTTGTTATGAACTTTAGTATCCAGTGTTAGTTCAGTATTGTACAGGAGGAAACCAGAGTATCCAGAGAAAATCTGTGATGTTTGGTAAGGTCACACAGGATAACACCCTTTTCACATCCAACCATGACTAAGTGGGGCAAGAACAGCCCTGCTGTTGCTGGTGTTGTGTGTTTATGGGTATTAAATCACTACTGTACCCCAGATTTATAATATATAATATCATATAAGTGACCCTTAAATACTCCTGGCTAGTTCTCCCAAGAGGAAGACACACACACACACACACTGACCACAGTACAGTATAACAACTATGCAAAACACACAATGTTGTTTAGTGAAATACTAAAGGTTCCCTATGGCTTCCCCTTGTACAACGAGACTCCACGATATCTATCTAGTTTTTCTCTTTCACTACGCATCCATTAGCACCAACCATTAGTCCATCCCCATTATATACTCAATACCATATTTTCCTGTTACTTTAATGAACACACAAAATCTTCATTCACAATAAACAGCAACCTTCCTAATGTATTAATGTTAGTTTATGACAAAAAAGGTGTAATAGTGAACATGTGGTTTTAAGCCAACCAAAACAGTGAGAAACATACCGTAATATCCACTTTATCCCAGGGTATAGTCTTGAGCACAGCAAACTCTGCCCCCTCTACATCCAAGCTGAAGTAGTCAATGGTAGTGACATTAAGTGCTACCATGTAAGAGTAGAGAGGAAAGCACTGCACTTCTACAATATCACCAACATCAGACCCACTAGATGATGGGTGTTCTTGTTGTTTTCCAAGAATATGGCCTTGGTTATCTTGCTGTTGAAACATTACCTATCAAAGATGAAAATTTTATATATATATATATATATATATATATATATATATATATATATATATATATATATATATATATATATATATATATATATATATATATATATATATATATATATATATATATACATTACTAAGAAAACATAGAACTATCAAGCTATGACCATAAGAATATCTTAATATTACCATTTCACATTTCTCACACATTCCTTCACAACTAAAAACCTGGAACGTCAATGTGGCATTTAAAAACTCATGCACTGTTAAACAAATGTTAATCAAGAACTCCCCCAACAACACAATTGGTTGCATTTATAAAGTTCCTTGCAAGGAATGTAATATGTTTTACTTAGGCCAGACAGGTAAAGATCTTGCAACTAGAATTAAACAACACAAATACAGTGTTAGGACAGGCCAGGAATCCAATGCTCTGTTTGTTCATTTGAGGGATAACAAGCATTGCATTGACTGGGATAATGCCTCCTCAATATTACCATGTAATTCAATTGATAGTAGGAACATCATAGAATCTAGTCTTATTAAACATACCAAAGCATTCAACATAAATTTGAGTAACAGCATGTACAAGCTGGACAATTTTGTAATTAAGAAGATTTGTAACCAGGTGAGAAGGTCGGGTCACCTGACCATCTGACCTGACCACCAACCGTTGTGTGCTATTTAAAGATTAGTAGGGTCATTACCTAATACCTGACCATTGTGGACCTGGTCTCACCCTCCTCTGTATATATACACCTTGGTTTGTATTTCTCTTTAGTCTGTACTCACCCCTGAAGATGTGAATTACACGAAAGCGCTTGGGAACTTCGTGTTTTCTTCTTTCCTTGTGGTTATCAGCATATATATATATATATATATATATATATATATATATATATATATATATATATATATATATATATATATATATATATATATATATATATATATATATATATATATATATATACAGTGGTACCCCACTTAACGCGGTCAATTGAACCCAGAGGGTCCCGCGTTAAGTGAAAACCGCGTTAAGTGAATAACAGAACATATGGGATTAATTCCAATAGAACCCAGCCCGACCCCCAAACTCCACTTTTTGACGACAAATAACTATGTTGTAGTAAAAATAACATCTTAATTTTATGATGGTACATGCACACAATTAATACTTAAGAGAAATACAGTCGCCAAGTTAATGTCCATTCAAATAATGGACTCAACTCCCTCCCCCTCTCACACTACAGTACACAGCCAGCTAACAGATGGTCGGTCGGTCCCTCCCTCCCCCCCCCCACCCCCCACCAACCGTCCCAAGGAGATGTGTGGGATAACCTCAAACTAAAGTTAGGAAAATATAATTGACATTGCTGGATTCCTTGTAAGACCAGGAATATTTTGAATATAAATGTCATATATTTTTCACAAAAGATAACATACTTACTCAGATTAAACATTTTATCTAAAAATTGTATGTTTAATGCAAAAAATATGTTGTTTATATTCAAAATGATCACCAAATTATAAGAATTCCAGCAATGTAAATTATATTCTGGCCGGATAATTTGTATGAATTTTATGAGCTAAAACAAATATCTACAGTTAATAAAAAAAAAATATATTCTTCAACACTATCTGTCAATCAAAGTACCCCACCTTGCCTCCCCCCCTCTTCCAACCGCGCGGTCAGTCCCAACCCTCCCCCCACCCCCCACCAATCCTCCATTCAAGAGTTTTTAACATTTAGTAATAAATAATACCTCAGATTAAAGTTAGGATAATATAATTGACATTGCTGGATTCCTTGTAAGACCAGGAATATTTTGAATATAAATGTCATATATTTTGGACAAAAGATAACATACTTACTCAGATTAAACATTTTATCTAAAAATTGTATGTTTAATGCAAAAAATGTGTTGTTTATATTCAAAATGATCACCAAATTATAAGAATTCCAGCAATGTAAATTATATTCTGACCGGGTAATTTGTATGAATTTTATGAGCTAAAACAAATATCTTCAGTTAAAAAAAAATAATTCTTCACCGGGTAACAGATGGTCGGTCGGTTGGTCCCTCCCTCCCCCCCACCCCCCACCAACAGTCCCAAGGAGATGTGTGGGATAACCACTAAATTGTAATAAATAATACCTCAAACTAAAGTTAGGATAATATAATTGACATTGCTGGATTCCTTGTAAGACCAGGAATATTTTGAATATAAATGTCATATATTTTGGACAAAAGATAACATACTTACTCAGATTAAACATTTTATCTAAAAATTGTATGTTTAATGCAAAAAATATGTTGTTTATATTCAAAATGATCACCAAATTATAAGAATTCCAGCAATGTAAACTATATTCTGGCTGGGTAATTTGTATGAATTTTATGAGCTAAAACAGGCAGTCAGGCAGGGTGGCGGGTGGGGGGTGGTGCGAATCTAAAAATAGCTCTCGAGCCGGACACTCACCGCGTTGCTGTGGAAAAATCCGCGTTAAGTGAAAGTTCAGCTTTGGCAAGGCACCGCGTATATGCGAAAACGCGTTAAGTGAAAGCGCGTTAAGCGGGGTAATACTGTATATATATATATATATATATATATATATATATATATATATATATATATATATATATATATATATATATATATATATATATATATATATATATATATATATATATATATATATATATTTTCCCCCATGTTATAGATAATATTATTTTCTATATCACACATGAAACACCAATATAAAAGTAGTAATGAGGACCAACAACTACTGTACTATACATACAATGAATGGTACCAAGCAAGATGTTAGTCATAGTCTTATGAGCCTCAACATAAAAATTCTTGGTTTCAGACTTAATGTCACGTTAATTTAGAGTCCCAGAATTTGTTACTGATGTCAAGATATAAGCGGATCTGTTGCAACGGGAAGAACTTTACGGTGAGGATAGTAGGTACTGTACACGTGATATCATTATGGTGACTAAATTTCACTAACTGTAGTAGGATGAGTCGTAGGAGCGAGGCAGCTGGAAGACATGTATGCCTTTCTGTGCTTCTCAGTCATTTGATTGAAGTTCTTTGGGTCAGCTTCAATTAGTATACCATTCCAGCCTCTCTTTCGTTCAAAAAATAATGTGTTGGAACGAATTTCTCCATCGAGGGCGCCACACTCCACGTAAAACCCGTTCCGCTGAAAATGTACATAGAGTCAACAATATAGTACTGTAACTGAACACTGTAGGGCCTGAAGATGTTTGGATACCTGTGATAATAAAACTTTTTGGAGGGATAGAATGGTTCCCCAGGTAGAGTACAGCTGCATACAGAAAATAGTTATTGGTCACCAAAATTACACTAAAAGAAAATAGATTAATGCTTTACCTACATGTACTCACATAAAAAAGATGAAGCAGTCCTCTTCTGGTCTTCATATATTATTAATAAGTGCTGGACTGCATTACTAGTTGGGTGGAGCAAGGGTAGAATTAGATGGCCTCAACACTTTTACTATCTAATTATAACTTAACCAGATCATGTTTTTGTAGTAAATTATCATTCACAATTGACTTTCCAATATTTCACAACAAATCTCTAGTATGGGAGTGCCATGTTTGACCTGCTGTATGATGTCTACTTTTTGCTCAATGCTGATCACCTTCCACTTTCTTTTCTGCTCAGCAAATGTTGAACTTGCTGAAGCTATGCTAGTGTTTTTATCCATTACTGTGAGGAGATTCATCCAATTTTCAAAGATATAATCAAAATGCAAGGCAGGAGGCACTGGCACACGTGTCTGACTGGCACCAACTGCAGTAGATCAAAACAAAGATACTGTACTGTACCATCTAGTGGCCATTTTGTAAACTTCTGCATTTGGGAAGTATGTCTACTTTTCTGAATGGGATTTTTCAGAAATAGACTGGATAACTAAACTTTCTGTGTGTTAGACATTTACATGTAGTTGACAGTACCTGTATTCCTAATAATAAATAAAGGTTTCTGGTAACATCATGAAAAAACTTGGTTGTTCGGTTATCATATTTATTCATTTTGAAGATATTTTTACTGTGGAAGTAATCATAAAAATCGCTTTACCTTAAAGCGAGATTAAAATGAGTTGAATGATTGTCATGAGAAAGAAAGAAAATGAATGAAAAGGCAATGAATTAAAAGAACCTTGATCTCCTGGTGACAGATAAATGACAACAAAGAACAGTGCTGGTGCCAAATCTGCACCTAGCAATGCATACATCAATTCATATACAGCACTGTAGCAGCCTTTACTCACCCAGTTATATAAGTTAGACTCTCTTGTGTGCAGGTTCTCAGAGAAGAGTTGAAATGACCTGTGTATGCTATGTTGTGAGCAGTTCCTTCACAAAACTCTCACCACTACCACTAATCCTTAAGGGCCACCATATTACTTGTAGCTTGGTTCATTCACATTTCTTCTGAGCTTAAGGAAAAGCAAGAGATTTCAAGCCCCAAATCTTGCCCCATATGGAAAACACAAGTAGGCTTTACTCCCTCAATTCCTCTTGTGGGAGTACAATATCTTGCTTCATAGCCTCTCTAAGAGCGATGGGTCATGAAACGGCGGCTTGTTACCGATCTTTTACCAAAGGGAGAGCCAAGTGAACACATTTAAATATCTTTTAATAGTGTAGCATAAAGAGCATCCAGCCCTCAGTACACAATAACCTTCAGGAACTAATACAGTATTAGATAAACTATGCAGAAAAAACACCATTTTTGATACCTCATCATAATTATTTATACTTAATAAGCTTTGCTGCTTTTATGTTATTTATATTACCGGTACAGTATAGTTTTAACTTATACGTAATTGTTATTTTCAGTGTCATATAGCAACAGGCTGCTGCGATGCCAGATATTCTACCTAATTAATCAATCGTCATAATTAATCAACGACGAGCATCCTTGGTCAAATTCCGTAATTGTTTACTATTGTTGTATATCTGCACTGTCTAAGTTCTGTAAATGGGAAAATGGCATAACTCCACAGTCTATGTATATTATACAACTGCATTGTTTATACACTTGCTGAACTGTATACCTATACAGTATAGTAACATATAGTCTACATACATGCCAAACCTGCTGTAAACCTGTGTGGTGATTTTACTGAATAAATAATACCGTACTACCCTTACCTTTCCTTTCAATATGAAGTCGATTCTCTGAGCCTGACCCATCGAAGGATTTTCTTCCTCTGGCTGAGACAAATTGTAAGGCAGCGTTGATGGTGGGACCAGGAATTGCTCTCGTAGGGCACGTATAACTTCTGGATTGTCGGCTGCCATGCTAACACTATTATAATCTAAAGAAAAGACTCTTTGAAACTTAAATTCTGACATTAACCTCATAGACAATAAAACCCTAGTGTCAAGACATGTCACAGTGTTCCTCTAAGTGTTGTGTTACTCTGTGTTTTCTTTCTTTAGCCCATCTACACCATTAGTTAAACACAGTGCTGTACTCTGTCTAATACTGTATACATGAACCCTCTACTTCTATTGGTGCTATCAAGACAAAAATAGAAAGAAAAATGTGAACTTCCTGGCATTAAAGCAAGGATAAGCACCGCAATGTCAACAACCTTCAAATATAAAAACTTTATTCACATTCATATTTAGTACTGTACTGTACTGTACTGAACTATACTGTACTGGCCAGGTACAAATGACTACTTCTTAGTCCCCTTAACTGTAGCAGGCAGCCTTAGTAGCTATTATCCTTTTCAGAGAGATAATTGTGACAAGGAAGGATGAGTTATTATAAGATCAGTCCTCAGCTGCCAGTTAGTCTACCCAACAGCTAGACCTCCAAAACAGCTTGTGCATCAACAGGTGCACCTGGCTAGGGAGAATATGAAAAGAAGGACAGTTGTCTCAACAAACATAAATTAAAGGGGGAAGTATGAATATTAAACTTACCTTGTGTATAAACTTTACTAATACGTGGTGAACGAGGGGCAGGACGGAGGAAACTATTCAGGCTGAACGACTCAGACGTGAAGGCCACCATGAAGAGAACTAGTACAAGCGCCAGACCAATAACAATCATTCCCCGCATACGAATCATTGTCACACATTAACCTGCCAAAGTATGTGCAATTGAACGTTGATATAAAATGCCAACTAAGTACTATACAAGACATAAAAGCCTTAAAATAAATGATCCATACAATATATTAATCCATAATTAAAACATAATAATAAATAAGTTTTGTTATATTATGTTAGGTTAGGTAAGTGCAGCTTTCTAATTTCTAAGCAGACAGCCTCTTTTTCTTAGTTGAATATCCTCTTCACCAGTTGTCAGTTTATATATATATGTCAGTTTGACCCTTTAACCAGCAACTTGAGGAACTTATTCTGTGGAAGACAAATGTGTTCTCATCTCATGAAAAGCCCCAAAGATGGGCAAAATATGTTTTTCACATTATTTAGAATAAAAAATGTGTCCTAAACATATATTTAGCAGCGCAAGATGAATTACCAGCTACTGCTACATTAAATCTTTTATCAGATATACTATGAACAAATGTAACCTATCTTAACCTGGGTTAAATAGGTTAGATTGGTTCTGTCTATGACCAGTAAATGACATAAAATAGATATAGCTAGTAAGGATGTAAACAATGGAGAGATATGGTAACTCAAGGACAGTGCTCAGAGTAACCAGCCACTTAACACAAAACATCAAAAGAAAAAAATATTTCTTACTCAAGAATAAATAAAATCAGACAAAGTAATGACACTTTTCATTCTCAGGATTTTTGCTGGCACCCACAGGAGGCCACCATCCTTGTTTACTCCACAAACACATCAGGTGGCATCATAGTTGTCATGTGAATGTTTCACACACAAATAATAACACAAACCCATTTTATATATCACTAATAAACACAGCAGCAGCACCAACACTAACTTTTCCTGTCGACAATGATATATTACTTTCAGTTAGTATGACTCGTGACCATCAGTGGTTCAGTAATTATGAGGGATTTTAGACACAGTTTTGTATTCTGATTACTTTCACATCTAGTCATTTTCTTGGGCAAATGCTTAGTTTTCTAGTTACAGTATATGCGAGTTAAGATGTAGGTTAGGTTAGCTCATGATTTCAGCAATTTCTATATTTTTCCCAACATATTACAGTAACCTCCAATAACATCAGTGAAAACTGGGCATTTTTTAACCATTTTCAATGAAAAGCAGCGGACGGTCACGATTCAAATAATTACCCTTTCTTCTTATAATACTGTACTAATAATATAAAAAAAAAGTAATAAAATGGTATTACGTACCTTAGTTTCAGTCATCTGGGGAATTTTAGGGGGTCTGGGGGGCAAAGTCCCCTGGTTAGGTTAGCATGGTTTGGTTACGTTAAGTTAAGTTAGGTTAGATTTGTTTGGATATCTAAATACAGGGATGACAGAAACTAAAATTTTACCAATAAAATTACTACGTGGCAGTAGCAGCAGCGTCTTTATTTATGGAAAAACAAAAATCAGGATAAAAACCTATATACAAAAAATCACTATTCCTCCATCCAACTTGAGTGAGTCTTGAAGCAGGACATATTCAACTCTCAAAATATTTCATCAGGTGACTCCATAACCCGTGGTACTCTCCTTAAATATTACCACATAGATCAGGATTTGAGAAGGAAAATTTTTAAAAATATTATCAATAATTTCTTCCCATTTCTACAAGTTGATTTTGATAACTTTTTGAATAAACAAGACAGAAAATATTGTCTATACAGATACCTAGTGTTAACCCCTATGTCCTGTTGGTCGGGTTAATGGCCGCAAATGGAATAAAGTACTCCTATATTTTTCTTAATTGTCAACAAATGCATGAAATTATAAAATGACAGATGATATATATTCAGTAATTAATTATACAAGTTCACCAAAGAGAGGTCAAGAAAGGTGTCAAAAACTTGTGGCCATTGAGGAGTTGGCCGACCTTCTACAGACACCAACTGTAACACCCATTGTTGCCGAGTTGCTCATACATTCCTGACACTTTATAGTTACAAGTGAACGAAGGATAAACTTACCGATTACCTCTAAAACGTTAATTAAAAACACTCTCCACATTGACTTCCGGAGGGGAATGTTTATGTTCAATGATAATGAGAATTGTAGAAAGAGGAAAACAAAAATTTACGAAAATTAGAAAAACAAGTAATTATCTTAATTATAATGTAACTAATAACATATTTAAGGTTATTAAATGTGTTATTAGCTCTTACATTTAAAATCTGAAAACTAACAATTGAAAATAAAATATATTGCCCCGTATTATGTCCCCGATGTTCACAGCTCATCTAACACACATTGTCCCAACCAAAAGATAGAGATTAATAGCTATAAATTTATCTATACAAATATTTATATTTCAAATCGAACTTCCTTTAGTCCAAGTCTAAAGAATATTACAACAATGAATGATATCCTGTCGCTGAACTAAAGCAAATAAATCAGCAATTTACTACATTTCATACTTTCTTCATTCTAAGGCTCCTATTTCAGTTGGCCTTATTGATCTTAATATTTGCCGAGTTAAAAACTACCATTCAGAAACAAAATTATACCCACAAGTAGTGTACAAATATAAGTAGTAAGGTAGAACAGTGGTAAGGTGTCTGGCTTGTGTCGCCGGGAGAAATATTACGTGTTTCCTCCAGGTCCTCCTGTACCAACATGAGATAATAAATGTACGAGTAAGCTTATGTGTGCTAAAATTATAAAAACAAAATATTTATAAATGGTCACAAATACAGAACTTAAAACTATAACTATACTGTACAATACATGATCAGTACTTGCCAACAGTGAACTAACAACTCGGTTATTGCTGGCTGGTGTAAAAAAAAAAAAAAACCCACTTCTGGTATATTATGTGTGTGAACATTTTTCAAGAAGGTATTCTTTCTTTATATCAAACGTAAGAAATTCCGTCTGTAAGCGTAATCACACTTTGGACTACTTTCAGTTCTAACCACTGGAAAAATATATCGTGTTCCCTAAATATTCGTCTCCACTGATTATTTTACCTAAAGATTAACCACCCTAACCTAACCGCCCGTCAACTCCCCTTCTTTCAATGCACAAGGTACAGTATAACATCTCAAACATTAAAAAAATAAGTCACTGGCTGTAGTTCTCTAAGGCTTTCTCGGTATTGATAAAAAAAAAATATGTTTCAAGTCAGTTATCCCTTCATGCGCATGTTGGGTACCAATGACCTTCATCCCTGATAATTAAAGAGAAAATTAGCATAACAGGCTAGAGGTGCAGCAGCCAAGTGTATCCTGTGCTTATCTCTTGTCCTAAGGATCACTAGTTTGTGTTTAGGGCACCCACGGTAAATGGTTACCTACCTTTATAGTTGAGGAAATATAGGGCATTAAGTACAGAACTAGTTACAGTGACTCTTGTGAACCAAAAAATTAGTTAGTTTATAATCTGCTGTATCTGCACAACTCCTAATGGGCTGTCAGGCCAATTGGACCCAGCTTCATGAAAAACCCTGTGACTACCCAAGATTGAAACTGGCACACAAGGGTTATAAAGATTTGATTTTGTTCACTTTGTCTTTTCATTACCTGTGCTCATATGGAGAAGGAAGCAGTAGTAGGCATAGAGGTTAATATAAAACGACATATATAGACAAACAATCTATTTTTTGTTCTTTAGAAAAGGTGACAATTATGCTGTAATAACAAACTATGATATCAAACATGCACAAATAAAATACCCGCTATATTACAATTTCAATACAGTACTGTACTACTAATGTTATGTTAATGAATAAAGTGACAAACTCTAATTCTTGCACTACGTCTACTTGACAATACCATATAGTAAACACTCACTCTATGTTAGTAAAGGTGTTTATATTTAGAATGTTTACTGACCATAGAAAGAAGTCTATAACGTTATAAACTTTTCCAGTGTTATAGGAACAATAAAATGCTGTTAATATATCATACATGTCTAGTCTAAGAAATTACTTGCACTATAACTACCAACTACTGGATGACTAGTATACTGTACAGGCCTTCCTTCGTCGAGTTATAGAGGGGTTACGTTCCTGAAAAGTTGTCCATAAATCAAATTTCATAACTTAAAACCCATCTCCCCATAGACTTTCAATAAACACTTTTTAAGGTGTGCTTAAGTGACTGGTCAGCAAGCAGCCCGCTACTGGCTACATCAATCATCCATCACTGTTTTGTTAAATGACTTATTTTTATTCATGTCATGTCATCCAACCAGAATGTAAAACCCTCTTCAAGTTTTCAGTTTAGGGATAGTCTTAAAATCTCTCTCTTGAGCACCTGGAGCCATATAACCTTTAATTTCCAATGATTCTGTTCCGGGTATTTTAAGGGCGCAGCAGCTGAGTGGTACAACACTCGCCTCCTGGCATTAAGGTTGTTGATTCACACCCAGAGCAGCCCCCAGTTCACCCAGCTCTTATTAGCTACAGCACCCACTTTTACAGTTGGGGAAATGATGGTATTTATATGCAGTGCTGGCCAAGGTGCCTCCTTATGTACCAAAGGCTTAACATAGTGTGCTTTACTGCACTGTCTTTAATGGTCTGTCAGGCATATGGCACCCAACTTTGCTCCATTTAGGAGTTTTACTGTATTTGGATGGAGAATTAAAAAATTACACATTTAATCATGCTATGTCCCATTTGACTTAGAGTTACCATGGTGAGGTTTCAGTCAATTGATTTTGCCGCTTTAACTCATTCACTGCAGTAAGCTTAACAACTGATACCCACCTCCTGTACAGTAGACTTGGGGAAATTAAAACATATCTTTTATTTTCACCACAACAGTGACTAGAACTTATATCGCTGACTACTAAAATATTTAAATAGGAATAAAATTATTTATACACTACAACACAGTGTATGGAATCTGCTGAAATTAGTTAAACTGTGCTGCCAGATGCATGAGTACATGTACACAAAACTTTTTTGTTTTATTATGTTATTTCTCGTTTATTATACACCAATATATATTATTACGCATCACTGTGTAAGTAGATGATATAATTCATCAAACTTAATGCTATTCAGTCAAACCATAAAATGTGGATTATTTCCCTTGCCTCTGCTGCCACATAAAGCTCTCACACAGGAGTCTGCAACACCTAGAGTGAGACTACCACACAGAAGGTGTTTAACAGTCGACTCATGTAAGGCAACACATGGTGGGATTTCATTGGATAGTATCACCACTAATATTTATGGGTCAACACCTCACATGGCAAACTTGAAGGCAAGAATCCAAATATTTCACAGCCACAGAGAAGGGAAAACATAGAGACTATTACAGTACCAGCTGCAGTGAAAGGATTTATTTATGCTTTCCTGCATTTAATCACAACAGTGCCTTAAATAATTGTCTTTCAATGAAGCAGTAACACTGGATACTGATAAATGGTTGTGTTTACTTAAAAATTAGTACTGTACTGTATACCTGTAAATATATGACTAGCCTAATTAATAAATTATCACAGATGTTTATATTACAATTTCATAGTAGCATCAACCTCACAGTTTCTCTCATTACTGTACTCAAAGTATAACAAAGTAACTATACAGACACACTCTTAATGGCACTAAGATAAATACAAAAAAATTTACACTTTTCACACACAGTTGTAATGCAAAACTAATCAATTTAAAATTCACATATCTCACTGAGCAGATCTGGTGTGGGGTTACCGATTCATAATATTCTATAATGACTGTGATTACAGCTCATCTCTTTGGACCACTTCATCATTCTTGTTTTGGACAGAGTATTGTACTGTACTGTAAACCCTCTTAGACTTACGCTAATCCTGATAAAATAAACAATAAATTTTTACATACTGAGTTCTCTGAGTTGGATACATTGTAGACTGACTAGTTTGGCTGACTTTATAATCACAACCATAAGAAAAATAAAGGAGATACTGAACTCCTTCTCCTAGAAATGGTACTTCTCTGAGGCAGCATCTCCACTTGGTACCACCTCACCACAATCCTTATAATAATTACTATTTTTCCATCAACTTATTTTTTTTGTTTTCTTCAGTTATGCATTATTGTTCCCTTTCTATTCCTTCCATCTCTTTCACCACATATTTTCTTTCCTCAGTTCTAACAGATGATGCTGCTTCATATACTGTAATGCATATAATATCCCAACAAATGTGAAATACTGTAAATCATGTTGTTACAGCTCATAAAACTGTAACAACTGAAATTTTATGTAAGAATCAACATGAGGTCAACTTTCTGTCTCATCATATTTCCTCAACACTTAACCTTAATCTCCTTATTCATAAACATTTGTCATCATTACATATCTACAACGATGTTCTCTGACACAAAAGCTCCTTATCAATATTGTACCTACGTAATACTTGGGACAACTGACTAGATACATACAAATAACAACTGTGGTTATAGATACAGTAAGTCTTGCCTGAGAACTGATGAGAAACGGGAATAATAACAAAAACATAAAGGAGTAGAGACCGTCACTCTTGTTGCCGTCATCAGCCACATTCACTGCTGGGGAAAATAATGAGAATCCAAGTTGATTAGCAAAGTATAACATTATATTCTCAAGCAAAAATTATTTTACTGATACACAGAAAATATTTTTATCAGTATTTAAATGGATAACTTTAAACTTTATAAACTTTTAAAGACCACTGCACTCTCACACATGTACAATACTGTGTTAGAAGATGTTATAGCAGCTGCAAAACTTTATATTATTCAGGGTGAAATATTAATCACTATGGGTGTACAGTATACAGTAGTGTTATAATAAACATCCAAATTTAATTGTACCACCTTTGTCTATAGAACAGATCACCAATTCTCTGTACAGTAATAGAGAAAATTACTTTCAGAACAATGCATTACTAACCTCTATTACGCACTGCCAGTACGAATTATTTTAGTCAGAGCGTTTACATTGTTGTTCTTTATGGCTTGGCGGCAGGCACTTATGACCGCCGTCTTGGATTTCCCTGCTGTGAAAGGAAGAATATTAAGAAATACTCTCATACATTATTTCTGAGAATACCTGTACTTTACATCCTCTTATCAATTACTTCAGACTAGCTGTCTTCAAGTGGCCATGAAAGAACTAGTAAAATAAAAATATATATATATATATACGTATATATATATATATATATATATATATATATATATATGTGTGTGTGTGTGTGTCATCCCCCAGGGTGATATTTATGCTGCAGTATCACCTGGGTGTTGTAATAAGCCTTAGCCCCCACACTATCCAGACAACTCCCCAGTACAGAAGGCACCACCTAGTGTAAGATGGGCTCTCACTCAGGTGTAGTCTAATTAATGTTCATGTTAGGATTCACACTCATTACAACAGTTACTAATGACATTAATCACAGTTATGACTCAAGCACACAATTTACTGTATGGTGTATTTCACTCACTTCTAAGTCTTCCAGCTTTCTGTATTGTCTGGTTGACTTGCTTAAGGCAGTTGAGAAGCTCTTGGTGATTATTACAGCGGATTTTGTAACCACTTATAAGGTCTTTATTAAGGTTGTACAGCTCACCATACCACTGACGCATACTATGCCTAATTGGGAAAAAACAGATAAGTTCGATGATACATTGCAAGAGTCTGTGTTAGTATATGTGCATAAATAGGGAATTGATCTTAATATTACATTTTCTGATCAGAAGTGAACAAATGGCTCTTGACATACAATTACTATCTAGGATGAGAGGCCAAGATGGTTACCCATGAAATGATCATTTGTCTGCTATATTGAAATTAATCACAAAAAAATGGATATCTAACCATTCCCAGTAATTCCATGTTCTCCCAAATCTTCCAGCTCCTTTCCACACCACAGGGAGGAAGGCTAGTAACCAGAGCCATCTGTTCACTACTGGTCATAAGCAACATTCTATAATTACTTCTCTATGATCAAAAAGTTCTGCAGATGGGTCATGACACATAAACCAGTAAATCATGAATGAAGAAGATTAATCAGGACACAGAATTAGTTTCTAAATTAGCTGAGAAGCCGTGAAAGTGGGTCCTAGAGACCTGAAGGCCTATAGGTTCAATGAAGGACAATACAAACAAGCAGAAAAACTTCATTAAGAATAAAATTGAACAAATAAGTAAACACAAACAAGAGAGGAAACTATACTAACATATCAGACATGAGCCTGGCATCCTCTGCTCTGACTACTAAGGTGCGAATAACACCCGAATGATCTGCCATCTCTGCTGAGAGACGTTGACGGGTGGCATGGTATTCCTCTACTCGCTCTAGCACTGAGCCAAGTTGATCAAGTTCCACTGGGAAGTCAGCCTCCACCTGATTACCAAGAAACAGAAAGTGGCAATTATAATCTTTTTTACTTAACATAAAAGCATGAGCTTTTGAAACTATTTATTGAGTAATACAAGAATTACTGTTGAGATTAGAGAGTGTGCACACAGGGGTTGAATATGTTAAAAAAAATCCGAAGAAAAATTTATATAACAAAATTTAAGAAGAAAAGTTTGTTTATTACTTTATAACTTCAAGAGAACTTGCCGGGTACAAAAGTTACTTTAATAGCTTGTAAAGAAAAATATGATCAAAGTTTTAAATAGGTAAAATTCCTACCTGTAAATCTTCCAAATTCAGATAATTACTGAGTGCCTGCATTATGTCACCAGCCAAGTCCATGTCATCTGTACGTACAGTGATTTCACACTGAGGCGAGGCCTGAATAATGAGCGGCATACTTGAGCGTAGTGACAAGAATGACACGTCCAGTCCACCATCTTCATCTGCTTGCAAGTCTTCTAAGAGCAGGAAACTTGAGTTTATCCACATTACAATCTGCAGAACATAAATCTTATTTATTAAATTGTACTTCACATTTGTACCACCTTCCTCATTAACATCACTTGTCATGTTATTCAGATATCATTTACAGAATATTGTCAAACACAAAGAGAGGCAATCAGAAACTTTATTTCAGTTATTTTACAGTAAATGTTAAATCTAATGTTAAGTCTTTACTGTGCTCTAAAATAATGGAGGACTCAGATACAATATACCAACCTATGGTCAAGGGAAGAAGTGTGTACAGTACTCTGGTGATATCCAGACAAAAATTACCAGTTGACTGAGTCCAACATCACACTAAGGCTTATTTGTTTAATGACACAATACACTATCCTTGCAGATAATACTTTTATTGTTTATTCTTTTCATCTTTTGTACTGACCTTGTGTTGGTTCTACAGATGGTCTCATTGACCAGGTCACACCAGGCATCACTGTACAGTACGTACTATGATCCCCGTCCCCAAAAAGCATCCAAATCCAAATTCACATTTACCGTACCTACTGTACTGTTTCAAGAGTGGAATATCCAGGAAACTCACCTGTTTTCTCAGCTATGGTTGTCTTCCATAATATTAATTTTACAGTACTGTATAAACTCGACCTACAGACTTCACTAACTGATATAATATTACCATTAAATCTTATTCCTTTATTACTACTCAAAACTTTCTCATTAATAACCTACATACCTACTCAATAGCTGTTATGTACCACTGGAAATAGCATGCAGCCATATTTAGCTCCCTGTCTAACTATAAAGCAACTATGGTACATTATTTACTAATACCTCTACTACAGTTTCCTGATGCCAGTTATAATTTTTTCATATCATAATATCTGTAATATTAATGACTATTTCATCCAAGACACATTTAACATAATTGACTTGACACAATCTAGTCCTTTTTCAAAATTCACAAAACATAGAAATTGGTTTGAACCTCTAAGGCCCTCTCACTATATGAATGTAAAACATACCCTTGCAACTCGTTCACTCAGTTTGAACTTGACAAATCCCTGAGGTTGATTGACTGCAACCGTGCAGAGAGCGTACATTGAGAAGCGTGGCAGCTGCCGAGTCAACTCAAACACGTGATAATGTAATGACCCTTTGTATCCCACCATGGACTTGATGTGGAGATCAACTGGAACATCCTCCAAAGAAAAGAAAATTAATGTCACTTAAAATTCTATTCCATTTTCATACAGGTATATAGTACAGTACCAAAATTTTGTGGGGGTAAGTGCACGGAGACTATACTGGGTTACAAACAGGTTATAGGCCATAAAAGGGTTTTCACATGGACAAAGGCCAACACAAAATACAGTACATAGTTTTATTTTATCAAAGTCTCGACAGTGAAAACAAAACAATTAAATTTACCTTAGGTGGGTACAAGGGGATCCTTATATTGCTACTGAGTGCTGCTTCCCTGGGATGGAAGACATGGCTCTCCCCTTCAAAGATTCCTTCAGCAAATATGATGACAGCACGGATAACAGTGTCATTCGTGGTGGCAAGAGCAATCTCAACATGGGGCTGGCAAAAAATCAGGCATTATGTCACACAAATTAATATTGGCAGAGCTAGATTTAAATATAACTTCATGATGATATTCAAGACAAACCGAGCAATGAAATATAGAGTTAATAAGAGTAGCTGATATATTTTTCCATATAAGTACTGTATTATCAAAGCAGAAAGTATTTATTTTCTGTCTACATTAACTACTGGCTGTAAGTACTGGTTGTGGTGCTGAAATACTCTACTGTTTATCTTCTGCATCAACACGGAATTCTGAAAGGCAAACTCAAACAATACTTCTACCACTACTAATTCTCAATTCCATATTATTTATATTGTTTACAAACAGTCAGCCCAACTCACACCTTTCCAGACCTAACACAGACACTGTGCCAAGGCTGTAATGTCACCAAGATCCTCCAATATTTTCATGAATGGGTAGTAAGAGTGGTGAAAGCAACAGTAAGGATAAGGGAAGCAAGTTTGGTATGTAGGAATAAGGAATACAAATGGGAGATGAAGCTCTGGTAGGTGAATGAGTTTGAAAGATTGTGGAGGTGATTCTATATGTTTCAATAAGCATTATGATATTTAAGAGACATTGGTAAAACAGAAGTTCAATTAGCACACAACCTCATGATCCATATTTTCTTATTTTATTTCAGATGAGCTAATAAAATTCTAAGCATGTGATCATAACCTAACTTAACCTAAATACTTACAGGTTTATTTTTCTCTTCACTACCCATGTTAATAGCCAATCCAGTCTGAAGTTGAGTATTAGCCTAAAAATAAAGAAACACAATATTTTATCACATTTCAAATAATTCTACAATTCTGGTCAAGGAGAAAATTAGAAAAGTGTATCATGAGTAAGCTGACATGGCTTTTGTTTAGGGTTCAGACACACACAAACATGTATACAAAAGAGAGGCCAGGCTTTATGAACACATCAGGAAGGTTTACATACTGTCACTTATATTTAGCCCTTGACTGTTACTGTGATGGGAACTTACAGGTATGACACCAACTTGATCTCCAGCAGTGGAAGGTTTCCCATATAGAATCTCTCCTGATGATCCCATCCGCTGGTTCTCCTCATAATTTTTCAGCTCCAGCAAGAGGTTGTGGCGCCTCTGACTCAGTTCTCTGATTGTTTCTTGCTCAATATTCACATCCATCATAGAGTACCGGCTCTCAGGCGAGGAAGACTGGTAGCCTCGAACTTCAGGAAAAACAGGAAATTATCTTGGTGTGTATAACAATGATATATAGAATCTACTTACTTCATTTTTTCTTTTATTTTACACCTTCCTGTTTTACGTAATGCCCCTTGTGGAACATGCTTCAAAATTTAAATCACACATACACGAGCGCAAATAAGATCTCATAGCGTTTTATGAAAGTTGTTCTCACTTTGCTTTACTTTGGGAATACTCTCAGGAGTCTAAGACATTGGTTTAATACCCCCATAGACTGTCGACTGTAACATGAGCTGCCCAAGAAGTGTATAGGCTATTAAACATTATTTCCAGTTCAGCACAGTCCATACTAACCTTCACCATCAATGGAGCAGCATATGAGCTGATTTTTGCCATCCATGCGATAATCTCCTTGAACAATACCTGCCACAGTTGACTGAAAGTTGTCCTACAAAGAATTAACTTTATTAACACAAGGATATATTTTGAGTAAACAGTCTATCTACCATTTCACTTCCATTGCCTCCTCTCCTATGGAAGTGGAGAGATCAAGGACAGGACAGTATAGTTCATTATGACTTATCAAAGGCAGCGGCTGATACTCCAAACAATGAACAAACATTTACATCTTATATCTTTATGTGTTTATGTACTTATTTCTCTCTTTACTGTATAGCAGATTCACAACTATTCACTGCTTAATTAACTATGAATGATAAGTACAGTTACTCTTCTATTTTAGTTATCCTAAATCTATCTGTAATTTGCTCAGCCAAATGCACAATGAGTGTTAGCAGTTGATAGCTTCTTCAATCTGTGGACAATCAACCAATAAGTGAATTTTTGGCCAAATATCTAAAGCATCTCTTGACACTAGATAGTACACAGACAAAACGTATCTGAATACAGAGGAAAAAGTCTACAAGTAAAGCTAGGAAATGAAACAGGTAATACTGATGGAGAACTACAAAGATAATAAAATATAAATATTCACTAACTTTAAACAAAACTTCTCCACTACGATCATTGCGAGCATCCATCTTGCCATTACTCCAGCCTGTGATCAGTTCAGGAACACCATCGCCATCAAGGTCATAACTGAAGATTGAAACTGCCTGGTTCTTGGACTGGAAAAAAAATAAAAACAATTACACAATAAAAAAATTATGTGCTTCAATTTTTATTCTAAGGATATTTTACTGATGCTACTGAATAAACTCTTCCTTCTCTCACTGATGGTGACAGATACTGAGCCACAACCACACACCTGACTCCTGGGTACTATGGCACTCATTCTCCAACTTAAACGATTCTCCACATATTACCTCCATCTCTTTACATTTACCACAACAGTGTCTCTCGTTTTCTACTTCCCCAGCATTACATCACCTCTTGTGAGTACCTGCTAAGACACCCACCACCAACAATGTGTCTCACAGCAAGGAAGAGCAGTGGTTGAGGATGGGAAGGCTGGTAAGGGGAGTGGATGGATAGGATCACTGTGTTAGGAAGGACTTGGGTAAGGTTAGTTATAATGGAAACTAGAGGGTGATGGCTCAGGGTAAAGAGGAGTGGAGGAGGAAGATAAACAAGCCAGAGTTCAAAAGGAGACAATAAAGAAAGTGATACTGGTGGTAAAAAATAGAAATGTAGACAAACAAGCAGCCATCTTAGACAACACCTATACAATACACACCTTAATTCTCCACCACCTTGCCAGCTTCTCGTACACTCCAACAGTCCCATTGGCAAGAGCATAACCAAATCGAGAGCCTTGCATGGGGCACAAGGCTGTCACCGCCTCAGTTTCTGACATTTCAAATAGAATCTCTTCATGCTTGAATACCCTTATCTCAAAATCCTCAGAACCCACCAAGAGCTGAAAAAACATGAATTAAATATTTTTTATAAATTTTTGCCATAGTCCATAATACACATACCTGTATCACTGAAATACAAACCTAAAAAACCTGTCAATCTAAGTATTACCAACACTTCCTGCTCAATCTTCATACAACAGGTGAAAGCTGAAAGCACTGATAGACAAAGTAAAAGAAGAGAGTGAAAAATAAAGACTAAATTTAAATCCAGCACAGGTATAAGAAATATAGTAACAATGGTAATATCCAAAGACTATGAATCCCCACATGTAACATTACAGTGAATGGAAAAGCATTAAAACTTAGCAGGTATACTAGAGTATCTGAGCACAGTACAGCATTTTAATACTAAATATTACATAGATACAGTATACTGTAAACAGAAGAACATAAAACAAAAGCCACCATGACATTCACCTTAATGTACTTTGGAAGTTAACTAACTGCTCAAGATAAGGTAAAAGGGGAACTAACTTTACATACCTTCCAAAGTCACACAGTCACACTCTTCACAACACCCGGGTACTGTACACCATAAACACTTCTACTCTCTGGGCTGCAGCTGAGCAAAACATTGACCATAACAGCCTTCTGTGTTTCATATTAAAGCAAGATGAAATATATCATGAGAGATATTTTTAACACAATATTATAATGAATCTTTTAAGTACGTAATCTTTGATATCTACCTCATTCTCATCATCTCCATCAAAGTCCGTGAGGGTAATTGAAGAAACATTATCACCAGTCACAGTCCAAAATGGGTCGTTTCCCTCGCTGTCAAAGCCGTGGATGGAGCAGTTACCCCCAATAAGTGCCAGAGGAGATGTATAGTGACCTAATTTACCTATTGTGATAGCATTTGCTCCATCAGATACCTGTTGGGGTGAAGCGATATTAATTAACAACTATGTCGAGATCTGTCTATTAGCTGAGAGAGGATTGTCATATTGGCCAAATCTGGTAAGAGTACAGAGAGTGTGTGTGTGTGTGTGTGTGTGTGTGTGTGTGTGTGTGTGTGTGTGTGTGTGTGTGTGTGTGTGTGTGTGTTTGTCAGAAGATTTTTAAGAGCTGCCAATGTTGAACATCACAGCAGCCACATACATTGTTCCTCTCATCTCTATTTTCCCCTGCATTGTACCGAACAAAAGAGGAAAAAATAACAGTACAGTACAGTAGTCTTCAAGAGAATATCATCCTCCTGAAATGATTACCTGTACTTGGGCAACTTTTGTATTTTACACTAGTATCCATTGATTCTCATACATCACAACTTTTACCAAAACTTTATGCACAAAGTATTGAGGATTTTTATGTTAATACACAACATGAACCTCTAAATTTTGGGTGATAAAATTAGTTTTCATAACATATATTTTCCTGTGTATTAGGCAACTTAAGCAAGAGATCACAAAGTAAAGCTGAAACTCCATCCACTATAATTATTTCACAGACACAAATAAAATATTTTCCTAATAATGTATAACAAATAGTGGAAGATAAACTTACATCTTTATAGAAAACATCCGCATTGTTTTGGACGTCATAGGCAAGGACGTTAGTTGGTGTTCCCACGACGAGTATGTCGCTATGTTTAGACGGGGACAGTCTGCCGGCCGTGAGTGCTGAGACTGTCTGGTTAATGTTGAGGAGGGAGACTTCAGCACTACTCTGGCTGATGGACATGCGGCCTCCTGACACACCAAGACGCTGATGGGAGTTATGGATGAACACCTGTGAAATGTGATGCATGGTACAGTAAACATGAGGTGATAATTATTATACAGGACACAAGTATAATCATGTACTGGACTGTATGCAGGTAAACCCAGTCCCTTGTATTCTTTGGCATTTCAAATATGTAATGACATGGATCAATCAGCTTATTATATCAAACAATTGATTATCCATTTTGCACTGAAGGTCAAACCAAAAGTGCATTATTTTGTACTATGGAATGTCTTTATAATCCTCCAGGAGGGTGAGAGGTGAGGTAGAGTGAACCAGTAAGGAGGAAGCCCACTTAATCAGGAATAAAAAGTAGGTAAGAAATCTTTACTTAATTGTGTTGAGCAGATCTTCTAAGAATTATACTGGACTGTACTAATATTCTAGTTACCTTGTCAGCAGTGGTGGAGGCTGTAAGGCAGGAATGAGCACCATCATATTTGCCGATACAAACTCGTCCAGGCAATATCTTCTGGTTGAGATTTATTGTAAATACTGGAATTAACATGGTGGCCCCTCATGCACTGTACTGGAACCAAAAACAGTTATTGGTGTGATGAATTACTATATACTGTATCAAACTAAATGATATCGGAAAACCATAAGAAGGAAATTCGCAATTCTTCCACCCATTTTTCTTTACATGAGGCAAGAAACAAGTGTTCTACAGAAAATTTCCCTAGAGTGGCTCCTTCCCATGAGTCTGACATGTACTCCACTATAGTATTGATTGTTGCATTTGAAAACTCCTCTTCGGAATTCAAAGTCTGAATGTGAACATCTAATATCTGGTTGGGCTCTACGACTCCTTTGGCAAGCAGACAGAGTTTATACAGACTTGTCAAGAGATGTTGAAACTTATCTCTTGAACTCTACTAGAAGGAATACTCAAGACCAGTAGTATAGCCAATGTTATCTTTCATAACGTCTTACAGGTTATACATAAACCCTAACATATTGACTTACTTTAATACCGGCAATATAAGTACTGTAACGGATAAAACAAACAAGTTCTTACCCAATTTGTAAAGGTTAAAATAGACAGAAACTCTTAACCTGAGACGACCATTTGTTTACTGTCACGGGAATTTTTTGTCCGAATCGGTTTGTCGTATTAAGTACTGAGTTGATTTTAATGTTTCCCATCCATAAGATACTTTTTAATCAAAATATATAATTTAAAATAATTACATTTGTTTAAAACGCAATTATATTTAATATCCATGTATTATTATACTTTATTAATTTTCAGAACACCACTAGAGAATTTGAGAACGATCGAACGAAAATAGAGTGTGCTGACTAATACTATTTATTGTAGACTTGGGCTAAATATTTTTAAATAAAACTATGGAGGTAATGAGACAAAGGCTGCTGAAAGGCTTTATATGGCAAGGTCTAGTTTATGGTGGACACTCAGCAGATAGCACAAAGAGGTTGGAGGAATGGAGGATTTTGAAATGTGGTGTTAAAAGCCAATGCTATATACAGTATGTTAAAAAAGCTACTGTACACTGAGGGAAAACAATAATATTGAAGAACTACCAAGATTAGCAAAAACTTAAAGAAAAATGATGTACTTGAAATATACAGAAAATGAAAAATGAGATACTTTGGTTATAACATTAGGGATGAGAGGATAATAAAATAAATATTAATGAGCAAAGTTGGGGTTAGAGGGCCAGGGGAAGGCAGAGATGGAAAAATTTAATTAATAACTGGGTCCCCAGAGATATAAAACCTTAGAAGATTGGTAAAAATATCCCGTGAACGTTTAGAGTGGAGGACTGTGGCCACCAACTCTCAGCTATCAGGACTATACTCTTTTTAAATAGCGGAACAACCAAGGTTTTGTAACTTCTAACCACTTCTAGTCTGTCTACATCTATGATAATGAATGATCACCGGATTAGGGACACTTTTTGGTTTATCTCGTGAGTGTTGATATGATCTCCAGAAGCAATTTATTGTCATCTATCAAACACATATCCCTTCTTTCTCTGTTCTCCCTCAATCAATTTGATCACTTCCATCATGCATTTAAAATTATCCATGCGTTCTTTCTTTTGTCTTGCTAACTGTCATCACCTGGAGATCGTCTAAATTTATGAGAACCTTGGCCTGCCTTGAGCTGTGTTAGCAGTTGTGAGACCAGGATGAATGGGAAAGGGGGCGATGGAACTAAAAAAGGGTTAGTTATAAAACGCTTTGGCTAATGACCAAAGCTATTTACTATTGTGAGTTCTGACCAAGGAATTAAGTTGGAACTTCAGGAATTATTTTTACTTTGTTAACAGAAAGTTTGCCAAAGTTACAGGCAGTATAAATCTGCAGTAATTTAAATGTTTCCAGTTTCAGAATGAGACTTGTTTGTGATCAGCTGCCCTTTGACAGGAAAGCTTGTGTGTGTGTGTTTATGTGCACATGTTCCTCTGTATTCACACAACCAAAAGACGAAGGTAGCAGTGCTAACACCATGAAGTTTGGTGCTAATGTATGGAACTTGGGGTTAAAATGAAACAAAAATTACTCAAATAAAATATTAAAATTGCATCTGAATGAAAACAAGTGTCTTAATATAGTTAAATAAATAACTTATTTGATTAGTAAATAACTTATAGACAGAGATTAACAGTCTTATGTACAGTATTATATTATATATATTAACAAAACACTTTCATCTGGAAACAGTTTAATGTTACAACTATATATGGATGTTAGTTGGTTCACACATCATTTGTAAATTTTACCAAAATAAAATGTATCATATTGTAAGAATTTTATTTGATGGTCTTAAATGTATATGGAACTTCGATCAGACGAGTCATCAGGACCCATGAGTGTTTGCCTCTCCTCATGTGTAGTCCTGCCAATCTCACCATCTTCTCTGTTGATGCCAGTAATGTATGATTCATAGTCATCGTCGTCCTCTAGTATACATCTGCCTATCTCGCTGCAGTTGTCAATCACATCTGGCAACTTTTCATTTAGAGTCTTCATAAACATTCTTGGCAGAGGAGTCATCTGGGGATCGTGGACTGAAATCGAATCCATGCCTTCAGTAAAACCTCCTTGCATTGAATCAGGACACTCACCACGTCCTTGCCTGCCATGAGGTTTAACGTTATCATGGTTATCACATTTGTCTTCACACAACGCCATTGCTTGAGAGTGTACATAGTCGTCTCTAATCCCGCTATCTCTCATGAAGTCTACAAAGTCTTCCATGACAGCCAATGTCTCAGGGGTCCTGGACTCATCATCCGCGGCAGCGTCCTTCCTGAGAATATCCAGATAATAATGAAACCACTGTAGAGACGTGCGACTCTTCCATTCTTCGGGGATGTTGGGGCTGGCCCTTAGTCTATCCTCGACGTCTTGCATGACAGCCTGGCCCTCGGGGGAACATGAATCCAGGAGCCTCAGACTCTGCGTCTCCTCATCGGTGGAACATACACTACATCTTCTTGGCGGGGACTGCTCATGCTCCGCTCTGTGGGTCGTGTAACTGCAGACATTGGCAGATAAGTTTTTGCCACTGTTATCTGTAAACAGTATACAACCCAATAATAAATACAATCAATATTACTATCAACCTTTATCCTCTTTTCAGCATTCAAACACTTCCTTTTTTTTTATAAAAGGCTCAAATAAGGTGACTGAAGGATTACCTGGAGAGTCGAGGGCCCCAGCATGGCAACACTCCTCCTCTGATGGATAAACCTCTGCTTGTGTTGTGGCTGTTCTCTGGCAACAGTGACACCTCGTTATTAGTCATCACTTCAGCATTAATCAAAGAGTTTGATGAAAACTGTCGAATTATACCATAATTACAATGAAGTAATGTATATTCAAATTAGTAATTAGTATATCAATATCAATAAGACAGTATACATGTGTGTGGGAGGGGGGTTGCAGGGCTGCCGAGAGCTGGTCAGGGCCCCAGGGAAAGATAAATTTATGGGCTCCCTTTACAGATATATTTAATATTTATATCCCACTATTCCCAGGTACAACAAAAATTTTTTTTATATGAAATACACCCTGGAATCACTTCCAATGTAAGTGTTTTTCCCACTTTAACACTTCCCAAACACCTGTCTTCAACACCTACCTGATCACCAACCTTTAACAACCCTCCGACCTCATCCATGCTGCTAACACCACCACCACCACCATCACCACCACTACCACCACCATCACCATCATCTTGCTGCTGCAGATGGCTGTCGTCACTCCCTCCTCCTCCTCTGCCCTGCGTGGGGTTCCTCCAGCGATCGTAGATGATCTCGACGAGGATGAGGAAGGTGCCACTTAAAATACCGCCAGCGACCATGATGAAGATGCCCTCCAGGTTCTTCAGCCCCAGGCGCTTGGAGAAGTCCAGGCTGTGGTGGTCGTCTTCAGAACACTCGGACCCTTCAGTCCAGATCCACTCCTTGTCCAGCACCTCCATGTAGCCTCCTGCCCATGACCACCACACATGAGGGACTGTCGGTGTCATTAGCTGTGTGTACTATTGTGTAGGTGTTGTGTGTACGTGTTGTGTGTACCATCAGTCGCTGTATAGTGTATAATTTCTCAAGTTTATATCGGTGATAGAAAAAGTGAAATAAACTAGGCCATTAATTTTATTTATTTCATATTACAGTATTTAGGGATGAATAACCAGTAAGTTTTATAGTTCAGCATCATGTTTATACTCACGTTCATGTAGATCTAGTATGTCGAGGGTGATCTTGTCAGCCCAGGGCGACCCCTTCTGCAGCCCGATGCCATAGCCGGACCGACCGAACAGCTCCCCTACAGTAACCAGCTCACAGTCCCGTGAAGCCTCATACTCCAGTCGGGAACTCTCCCAGATGAACGCCTGCAAGCTTCTAAAAGGCCAGGGAGTAAGTGTAAAAGACAGACAGACAGACAAAGAAGAAAACCGAGTCAGACAGAGAGGCAAAGAGACAGAGATGAAGATAGCTTATATATGTTTAGTAGAATATTAGGGTTAAGGCCCATTTAACCAGTCACTAATTCACACCAACCCCAAGTTCTAGGCAAGCTAACACCACCTCCGACCAAATAAGTCCACACCTCCAGAGACCAACTCATAACACTCAAGATATCCAAGTTCAACCCTAGACCATATATATCACGCCAGACCAATCTAAGCTTACGTGTCGTAGACTATTTAAAACTAGATCCACGACCATTCCAGAACAACTCCTGATCAGATTAAGCTTTCCCAGACCAGAAAAAGCCAATGCATCGGAACCTAAGCTTTATTAGACCACGCCTGACCAACACAGATATCCCCCAATCAATCTGGTCAACATTATGAACATCCCAAATTCAGCCTATATATTAAACCTGTCCTACCAACTAGAACACACCTCAACTACCCAGGGAATGTCATGATGAACCAACATGAGCCATATTCTCTAGGACTTCCATAAGGTTACTCAAAGACACCCATGGACCTATCAAGATACACCCAGGGAAATCACTAGATCAACTTACAGATCATATAAAACCCTAGTAAACCTGTCCAGAACACCAGGACCAATTTATTCCAGCATACATGAATCATACTGACCCATTGCGCACGGCATGGATAGCCTGGTCAACGGTGGGGTAGTTATGTGCCTCCATCACACGGTACATGTTGGCCCACTCTGTCTTGCGCCTGAAAAACATGTCCACCGAAGATCCCCGCACCGTGGCGAAGGTAAAATTCTCCACTGGGTTCCTCAGCTGTGGGGAGGAGGAAAAGTTTTAACTGTGGGCAGAAGGAAAAAGAAGATATTTAACTGTGGATAGGAGATTTATTTCCTTTGGGGATGAGAACTTTTAGCTGTGGGCAGAAGAAAATGTGTTTGCTGAGGGGGAGAAATTCTATCTGTAGGTATATGGAAAAACCTCAGCATAAAATTGGCATCTCTGTTACAGAAAGAAGAACAAGTAAACCCTCATCTGTGAGTGGAGAGACGAGTCTGATGTTCTCTCAGCTGATGACAGAAGGAGATATAGCATATTAAAAATTTGAAGTCTCAGTTATGAATGAAAGGAAAAATCTCAGACCTTCATCAAAGGAAAGACAAACTTATCTCTACTTTTCTCTCTCTGTCTGTGTCTCTCTACTATCTCTAGCTACCTTTGTCTGTCTCTCTCTCTCCCTATCTCTTTTGCTCACCCTGGCGTCGTTAATGCCGGTGATGGCACTGATGGGAGTGTCCAGTACGAGGAAGGCTGCAAGGTTGGCCGTGTAGGATGCCACGATGATCATAGCGAAGCCTCCCCACACGATACCCAGCACCCGGCCACTCACACACCTCGGAGTACCTACACAAGGATCACACATCAACATTAAGAATACGAGATCTTGGGCGCAAAAACACGAGTGATTTACAGGGTGTATCGTTTCATAAATTTCTAGACAAATATATGAATTTACAAAGGGTCTCATGAATTTATGAACTTACATATTCACTTCTCATCTAATCTATGTATCTGCTTATCTAGCAGCTGTATGTATCTATCTCACTTCTCTTCACTCATTATTAATTATAAACAGCTAAGCTTTATCCTCACCCTGACTAGCATTATTGTGGCTAAACACCAAGATAATGTAAAATACAGTACCAGTAGTAGTGAGTGGGAGGAGGGAGAGGGTAGTGTGTGTGAGTGGGAGGAGGGAGAGGGTAGTGTGTGTGAGTGGGAGGAGGGAGAGGGTAGTGTGTGTGAGTGGTAGGAGAGTGGGAGGACGGAGAGGTTAGGTTAGGTGTGTGTGGTAGGAGCTGATGTGTGTTTACCGTCGGTCAGGCCGCTATTGAGGATGACAGACCACGAGAACCAGAAGGACTCCGACAATACGAGTGAATCTGTGTCCTTCCCATCAAGCCTGTGTGAGGAGAGAGAGAGGACCTGATGGTAATTCTCTCTCTTTCTTTCTTTTCACCCTCTCTTTCTCCCCCCCCCCCTCTATCTCTTTCCCCCTCTGGATTAAAGGCTTTAAATTAATTCTGGTTTAATTTGTCTTGAGTTCATTACTTAGAACAGCTGTGGTTCATCTTATTTTAGTTATTTATAGAAGGTAAAGACATTGTAGTGGATTCCTTCTCTACAAGCGCCGAACCTTCTCGAATTCCCCAGCCTACGCCTCCAGCGCCGCCTACGGAGCGGGGGTCAACTATCTACCCACGCCTACCCCCGCCTTATAAGACCTGACACCGCTGTGACCACCCTCTTTCTACCCAGTGCCACCAGCAAGCAACACCTCCTCCTCCTCCTCCGCGCCAGCCTGGCAGCTCCCGCACCCTCGCCACCTTGGCGTCCCTCAAGCCACATACTCCTCTGGGCACCCTCACCAACCAGCTCTCTCCTACTCAACGCTTGTTACCATGCTGTCTACCCAGCAACAAGCTGCACTGTACATCCAATACAATATGTATACAGTGAGCACATTGTGAGTTTCCTTTCTCCATCCCATCCTGAGTGTGAACCAATATACTACCCCCACAACATCACCCGCCTTGTACCTCCAATCCTCCCTCGTGAGACCACCAGACAGACAGACAGAGGTACTGTACTTGTAGACGGGGCTGAGACGGTCCAGGAGCCAGATGAAGAAGGCGATGATGTGGACGGTGACCAGCAGGAGGAGCCAGAGAGTTCCTCGGAATGGCTGTAGGATGGACACCAGGGCAGGCACCACAAGGGTCTGCCGAGGAGATGCAATCAGGGTCAAATTGGGTCACAGGTCAAACAAGGGTCACAAACCATCAAATGGGGTCACAAGTGGTCAAATAAGAGTCACAGAGAGGTTAAACAAGGAACACAGAGAGGTTAAACAGAGGTTACTTAAAAGAAGTTGGTGTCATCGTGACCAGGGGGGTCAAGTTAGGTTAGGTTAGGTTATCACAAGTCATAAGAGATGATTGGTTCCTTCACTCTCCAGGATGGGGTCATTAGTGGGTGCTGCCAGGATTTCGATCAACGTGTGAGTCCAGTCAGGTAAATCAAAACACCTCTTTGGTCTATTGTGAGGAGATAACCAGGTGATGAACTGCAGTGGTTTGTTCCTCTGATGGTCAACACCCTTGGGTCTAGTGACACAATGTTATCGTTATGTTATGTTTTATTTGTTTGTCTCTTGGGCTGTCTAAAAGTGATTTAATGACTGCTCACAGTCTCTCTGTCTCTTTCTTCCTGTCTGTCTGTCAGTCTGTCCGTCTGTATTTCTCTGTCTGCTGACCCGCTTGATGAGGATGGTGATGCCGTGGTACTTGAAGGGTTTGGTGAAGTGCAGTGCCTGGGATCGCTCCGGGTTGATGGTGAGGGGCGCCATGATCATGTCCAACGCCTCACTCTCGTTCACCAGCTGACCAATCATCCCATTCCAAGTCTTCTGTCCTGTGAATGATTAATGCATAATAGTCACTCTCCATTGCTCCAGGTCAGTCATAAACACACTGTGGTAAATATATAGTTTGAATGTTTGTGTTTACTGAAGATCTGCTGACTTTGAGAGGTAATCGTCTCTCTTCCTCCTCTTTCTTTTGTTTTCTCTTCCTCCTCTTCTCCCATTCCTCCTCTCTCACTCATTCACTCACTCCCCCACTCCCTTTTTAACACCATCTCCTCCTCCTCTCTCCCTTTCTGTCCTGCCCTCTCTATATTCTACAAGCTTTCTCTCATTCCCTCTCTCTCTCTCCTTCCTCACTTCCCCCTCCTCTCCCCTGCCTCACCTTCCTGGTTCTCCTCAAGCTGGCCGTAGTTGCCGTCAGCAGAGAGCGTCAGGTTGAAGGTGAAGCCGTTCTTATCGGACAGAGTGAAGAGCAGGTCCAGACAGTATCCCCAGCAGCACATCCTCTCCCACTCTGAGGATAATGATGCTTGTTGTGGTATATTGGTACACTCGAGAGACAGACAGAGAGAGATATACAGACAGATGGACAAAAAGATAGAAAGATAGACATACATCCTAAACCATACTTACCAACCCAATCTTTAACTTTGTAACACTACTAATGCGATCCATACTCTACCAATTTTTCTCCCTTTCAACCACCCCTCCCCCTCTCTCTACCCTCCCCCAGGCATTACCTCTGGTGGTGGGGTTCAGGAGGGGGCACAGTTCCTTCCCCTTCCCCTCACACTCCTCGTCAGCGTCAATGGCAGCGGCATACACGAAGGGCGTCTCCAGGAGAGTCATCACCTGCAGGAAGGGGGGAGAGAGAGAGAGAGAGAGAGAGAGAGAGAGAGAGAGAGAGAGAGAGAGAGAGGTCATAAATAAGTATCTAAGATCTATGGTGGCTGTCTGTATGGTAAGTGGCTAGTTGTAATAAGCCCCAAGTCATAACAGGCCCCAAGTCTTAATGGGCTCTAACTACAGCAAACCTATTACGACTGAGAGCCATTTGATCTTCAACCACTAATATCAGGGTTTTTTAGTCATGAGAAAATAAATTTTTTTATGAAAAATGAAAGGAGACAAAGGGATGAAAGTAAAGACTTACAATTTTTGTAATTTTCGGCCAAAAAACGGATTTTGTTCAAAATCTCAGTATAGGTACTCCTGAATGTGCTGCTTAAGGATGTGTTAACCAAAATTTGATATCTTGATTATAACTTGTTCAAATGGCTTTTAGAAAATGTTCAAATGTTTTTTAGAATATTTTAATTACTTTTGCAATGCTAATTACTCGCCCACTTATGGGTTTTCGAGGTCATTTCTTGGTGCTTGTGTATTATTCTGGATGTACTTAAATAGTTAGGCACATTAAATTTTAGTTCAGAGAGAAAAAGTATTTTTGGCCAAAAATCCTTTAAGGCATAAGACTTACAATTTTTGGCATTTCGTCCAAAATTAGATTTTGCTCAAAATCGCAGTATAGGTACTTAAAGGATTTTTGGCCAAAAATACTTTTTCTCTCTGAATTAAAATTTAATGTGCCTAACTATTTAAGTACATCCTGAATAATACACAAGCACCAAAAAATGACCTCGAAAACCCATAAGTGGCGAGTAATTAGCGTTGCAAAAGTAATTAAAATATTCTAAAAATCATTTGAACATTTTCTAAAAGCCATTTGAACAAGTTATAATCAAGATATCAAATTTTGGTTAACAGATCCTTAAGCAGCACATTCAGGAGTACCTATACTGAAATTTTGAACAAAATCCATTTTTTGGCCGAAAATGACAAAAAATGTAAGTCTATTGCCTTAAAGGATTTTTGGCCAAAAATACTTTTTCTCTCTGAACTAAAATTTAATGTGCCTAACTATTTAAGTACATCCTGAATAATACACAAGCACCAAGAAATGACCTCGAAAACACATAAGTGGCGAGTAATTAGCATTGCATAGTAATTAAAATATTCTAAAAATCATTTGAACATTTTCTAAAAGCCATTTGAACAAGTTATAATCAAGATATCAAAACCCATAAGTGGCGAGTAATTAGCATTGCATAGTAATTAAAATATTCTAAAAATCATTTGAACATTTTCTAAAAGCCATTTGAACAAGTTATAATCAAGATATCAAATTTTGGTTAACAGATCCTTAAGCAGCACATTCAGGAGTACCTATACTGAAATTTTGAACAAAATCCATTTTTTGGCCGAAAATGACAAAAAATGTAAGTCTATTGCCTTAAAGGATTTTTGGCCAAAAATACTTTTTCTCTCTGAACTAAAATTTAATGTGCCTAACTATTTAAGTACATCCTGAATAATACACAAGCACCAAGAAATGACCTCGAAAACACATAAGTGGCGAGTAATTAGCATTGCAAAAGTAATTAAAATATTCTAAAAATCATTTGAACATTTTCTAAAAGCCATTTCAACAAGTTATAATCAAGATATCAAATTTTGGTTAACAGATCCTTAAGCAGCACATTCAGGAGTACCTATACTGAAATTTTGAACAAAATCCATTTTTGGCCGAAAATGACAAAAAATGTAAGTCTATTGCCTTAAAGGATTTTTGGCCAAAAATACTTTTTCTCTCTGAACTAAAATTTAATGTGCCTAACTATTTAAGTACATCCTGAATAATACACAAGCACCAAAAAATGACCTCGAAAACCCATAAGTGGCGAGTAATTAGCATTGCAAAAGTAATTAAAATATTCTAAAAATCATTTGAACATTTTCTAAAAGCCATTTCAACAAGTTATAATCAAGATATCAAATTTTGGTTAACAGATCCTTAAGCAGCACATTCAGGAGTACCTATACTGAAATTTTGAACAAAATCCATTTTTTGGCCGAAAATGACAAAAAATGTAAGTCTATTGCCTTAAAGGATTTTTGGCCAAAAATACTTTTTCTCTCTGAACTAAAATATAATGTGCCTAACTATTTAAGTACATCCTGAATAATACACAAGCACCAAGAAATGACCTCGAAAACACATAAGTGGCGAGTAATTAGCATTGCAAAAGTAATTAAAATATTCTAAAAATCATTTGAACATTTTCTAAAAGCCATTTCAACAAGTTATAATCAAGATATCAAATTTTGGTTAACAGATCCTTAAGCAGCACATTCAGGAGTACCTATACTGAAATTTTGAACAAAATCCATTTTTTGGCCGAAAATGACAAAAAATGTAAGTCTATTGCCTTAAAGGATTTTTGGCCAAAAATACTTTTTCTCTCTGAACTAAAATATAATGTGCCTAACTATTTAAGTACATCCTGAATAATACACAAGCACCAAGAAATGACCTCGAAAACACATAAGTGGCGAGTAATTAGCATTGCAAAAGTAATTAAAATATTCTAAAAATCATTTGAACATTTTCTAAAAGCCATTTGAACAAGTTATAATCAAGATATCAAATTTTGGTTAACAGATCCTTAAGCAGCACATTCAGGAGTACCTATACTGAAATTTTGAACAAAATCCATTTTTTGGCCGAAAATGACAAAAAATGTAAGTCTATTGCCTTAAAGGATTTTTGGCCAAAAATACTTTTTCTCTCTGAACTAAAATTTAATGTGCCTAACTATTTAAGTACATCCTGAATAATACACAAGCACCAAGAAATGACCTCGAAAACCCATAAGTGGCGAGTAATTAGCATTGCAAAAGTAATTAAAATATTCTAAAAATCATTTGAACATTTTCTAAAAGCCATTTCAACAAGTTATAATCAAGATATCAAATTTTGGTTAAGAGATCCTTAAGCAGCACATTCAGGAGTACATATAATGAAATTTTGAACAAAATCCATTTTTTGGCCGAAAATGACAAAAATTGTAAGTCTATTGCCTTAAAGGATTTTTGGCCAAAAATACCTTTTCTCTCTGAACTTAAATTTAATGTGCCTAACTATTTAAGTACATCCTGAATAATACACAAGCACCAAAAAATGACCTCGAAAACCCATAAGTGGCGAGTAATTAGCATTGCAAAAGTAATTAAAATATTCTAAAAATCATTTGAACATTTTCTAAAAGCCATTTCAACAAGTTATAATCAAGATATCAAATTTTGGTTAAGAGATCCTTAAGCAGCACATTCAGGAGTACCTATACTGAAATTTTGAACAAAATCCATTTTTTGGCCGAAAATGACAAAAATTGTAAGTCTATTGCCTTAAAGGATTTTTGGCCAAAAATACTTTTTCTCTCTGAACTTAAATTTAATGTGCCTAACTATTTAAGTACATCCTGAATAATACACAAGCACCAAAAAATGACCTCGAAAACCCATAAGTGGCGAGTAATTAGCATTGCAAAAGTAATTAAAATATTCTAAAAATCATTTGAACATTTTCTAAAAGCCATTTCAACAAGTTATAATCAAGATATCAAATTTTGGTTAACAGATCCTTAAGCAGCACATTCAGGAGTACCTATACTGAAATTTTGAACAAAATCCATTTTTTGGCCGAAAATGACAAAAATTGTAAGTCTCATATGAATATTATGAATGTTAAATCAAGGAACAGACAAACAGACGAGAAAATAACTAAACGACAGGGAGACTAACAGTAAGGTGTAGAAACAGTTGAAGATGAGAAATACTGTAGGTGCTGGTGAGAGATGCACAGTACTTACGTTGAGGTGTGTAGGGAGGGAGTACCCGGGCGGCGCCGTAGATGACCCCCCAGGCCACACAATACTACTCCTGTTTACCTCCAGTACCATCTGACCTCTCACCTGCCGAGACGATACCACCATCTTCAACAAACACACTAAGCTCTTTAATATGCAGCGCCACCTATAAACATGCTATAGTCAGTGTTATATTTCATTTAATTCCAAAAGAACAGTAGGCCTATAAGGGCTAAATAAATAAACTTGTGGGATTGTGTACCAGTCTAAAGATGGCACAAAGTATTTTAATTTTCTCCAAGTGGCCTTTTAATTGAAATACATTCTTCTCCAAAATTTGTCATCATGATCTAAATTCAGACAAAATAAACTGATTCCTTGTCTTATATATAACTTTCATATTATCACATCCACCACTCATCAGTTTACTAACCGTTCAGGCGTTTGGTCTGTTCTTTGATACAACCGCCATTACCGAGCGTTAGTTTTAGTGATATCCCAACCTTAAAATTCTATTACCATAAAAGGTTAATGAATAAAAAAGAAACAAAAATTACATTATTCACTGTTAATTTCGCAACACTAACTCTGCCAGCTTGGCCTCCAGATAAGACTGTATACTGTGCTTGTAACCTTAGCAAAGATAAAGGTACACTTTTACTTTTATCCTCTTCACCATTGATCGGCTCGTTAGCCGCTTGGGCGATCGGTCACGTCTCTGATTACAGTATGTCTATATCACATAAACACAGTATATTCTCTGTCTTACGCTGAGTAATGTGAATATTCTTCTTATATCTAACTTGTATAAATGAGCTTAAGTTACGTCACACAGATTTCTAAGTTATATAACCGTACAAAATATAATTCTAAACTAATCCTGGGTTATATTAAACAGAATATTTTTATGAAACTCTCTCTCTCTCTCCCAAGCTATACCTTATCATAAAATAACTCGCCAACGTGCTGAAGGTTCCTTTGGCCGAAGTGCTCCTGGTGGTGATCCTGGACGTTGACCACGGAGTACTCGGCATGGGTCCTGTCCCCGTGGCCGTCGAAGGCCACCTTTCCCGTCTTCCCGTCTGTGAGCACCTGCTGTTGTATAAGCCTGTAGGGGAGGAGGAGGAACCATGTCAAAAGAGAGGAGAAAACTTAGTACAGTACTAAAATCATCCGATCAAGGAGCACGACATCCTATCGGGGAATACAACATCCGATCAGGGAAAACAACTTCTTGTAACAACACAACACACTTCATCATGCCAAAACAAATATCCTAAGATAAATCCTTGAGTTGTTCTCATTATATCATCTAGAAACTAAAATCAAGGAATGTAATAAATTACAAAATGGAAAATCCAAACAGAGTAAGACCATGAAGCATCTCCCTGATAGAACATAATGTAAAAATGTTAACAAGAGGGTTCCCACACTGAGGCAATTTCAAATTTCTGGACTTTTCCATTTAGGTTTAAAAACAAAAGAGATGTTATGTAGCTTCAGGGCTTTGTCAACCTTTTTATACAGTTCCTAGCTGATATAAAGGTCCAACTCAACCAGAAATAACAAAGCCTTTCCTTTTAAACAGTTTGGGCAGCAGCTTGGGGTCCCTGTAATTAGAGTTAACAGACCTGAAAAGCCGGATGCCGGTTTCGTCCCAGCCGCCCTCAGCCTCGCAAGTGATGGGCGGGTCCGGGATGACCACCTCCTGCTCGTGCAGTTGACGTAACGCCAGTGCCACCACGCGTCTGTCAGGGCAATTATTAAAATACTGTATATAATGTCAATGGTACGAGGCAAATCAATAAACATTAAAAGTTCCACCAAGGATTCTATGAATCCTTGGTGGAACTAACGCCACTGCTTCATATCAGATCAGAATTAATTGTTTACAATTCTTCGTCACATTGGACAATAACACTGTGAAAGTGGGTCCTATAAGCATAACTGCCAATTAGTAACAGTGTGAATACAGCAGACTGTATCGTAAGACGTAGGTATGTAAGGAGCCAGCATGGTCGGTGTAACAGGTCACATTACATCCCCACCAGTTTAATCCCGGGGCATATTCTGGCCTAGACCAGGTAACACCCCAGGGATAAACCGGGTCTATGCTGTTTTGCACCCCCCCCCCCTTCTCTTACAATTTTAAGACAATCATAAAATTTGAAAAAAATTAAATTACTTCAGTAATATTATTTCTTAACATATTACATGTTAGGCTGGATTAGGTTAGGTTGAGTTGAATGGGATTGGGATGGGTTGTGTCCCTCTGGAGCCCCCTGAGACTTCCTCGATCAAGACCCTTTAGTGCCCAATCGGTTCGGTCCTCCTGGGAACCCTTACAATCCCCTGGGACCCTCTTGGAACCACCCAGGGCCCCCTAGGACCCCATAGGAACTGGACCCTCTAGATATCAGCACGAGAACACAGGAAGAGGAGATCAGTGTTAACCTATGATCGTCTAGAAGTGACACTGTTTATTAGAAGCTTATATTGTGATGATAGCATAGCATCTCTCAGTCTCCTCCTGCCCTAGCAACTCACAGACTGTCGGTGATATGGGCGTCGTAGTCGTCAGCATACTTAAGCTGGAGGCCAAGAGCGCCAACTGGGACGTGTTGTGAGTGGAGGGCCTGCTCGGTCACCAGCCACACATAACCGTCCTCCATCATGTTGAGATAGGCGGCGTCATGGAAGATTCTATCAGCGTCCCTCTCACTGCCGGGGTGACCACAAGAGATCCTTAGTGTATGAAGGCCTTACAGCAGCTAAAAATAATCCAGTGCAATAATTCTATCAAGAGCAAGTAATTAATGAACTATTCCATAGTGTAAATTATTTAGTTACCAATCATGGTCTCAAGTCCCCAATTCCTTAGTTTTATCAAATGATATTTACAAGTGTAATATTTACACCCATCAAGCCAACAGGGGTTTTCAGTGTTTGAATTTTTGTTTATACTGTATAACATTATGAAGTTAATAAGACTCTGGCAGTACACTCACTTGGCATACAGCAGGATGACCTTTACCAGTTCCTCGCGGATGGCAGCTAACTCCACCACGAAGGAGTCCTCCCCGGTGGTGAACTCAATCACTGACACCAGCTGTAACAAGGACGCCTTGGCTTTCACACGCAATGAAAAATTAACTCTAAAGAGTTTATGAATATTCTTTAGACATCTTTGAGTAACTTTGTTTTAATAAAGTAATGTGGCACAAATACTGTAGTATCGCTGCTTGTTTTACATTTTTTATGCCAACCAAAATTAACTGTGACGTCATCAATCAACAGTTGTAAAGCTTATGTCACTTAGTTGACTAAAATAAATCATATCTTTCCTAATGTTTAATAGTCGTTGTTTAGTATAGATAATGACCTTGTGTTCTGTGAAGCATGTTAACATCAACAGCATGACTCTATGATACTTACATTATTGCAATATAACTGTTTCCCCCACTGGAAGTTAGCATTAATGTCTCCATAACTCTCAAAATGGCGTGTTGTAATAATTTTCTCTCCAGCTTTACTAACCTTGATACCCATGTCGTCGTCACGGTGTTGTGCTAGACTCTGGAAGCGCCTGTAGAGGGCGCGGCCGTCGGTGTCGGAGGAGTGGAGGAGGATGACCTGTTGGTACTGCAGGTGCTTCAGGAGGGTAACCCACACGTCCGCCTGGTGGTTGTAGGGCGGCACCGTCCGCAGTAGTGATACGTGGATGTTCTGGTGGGACAAGTGTACAGTACACCTGTACACTCTTGTACATCATGTGTATCGATTGCTACTTAAATGTGTGTAAAAAACTGTGAAAATAAGTACTGTACACCTTGAAAACCACCTTTTTACTTTTTTTTAAATTAACAATTAACAGAATAAAACTATTAGTCTATCAAGTACTGTACATTACAGTATATAGAAATGTCTATAGCTTATCAAAACAAAACAAATAAGAATAACAAGAACATGGCTGACTATCTGGTTCTCGTATTGAAGCAGATGACAATGCAGACGAACCTTGTTGGAGAAGGATGAGTCCCTGGAGTGTGTGCAGATGACGGGGATGTGGTAGAACCCGCACGTGTACGACACAGCCGCCGTTGTCACCGACCCTCCAGGGGGACTGGCCACCACCACAGTGTACACCTACAACCACAACACACCACACTAAATATTATAAACATGATATTAAGCTAATTCTGGGTTCAGGTCATCAGCCAGAGCCAGAATGTTATTGTTATCTGATTTGTGTTAATTTCAGTGGTTTACCTAAACATCCTCCATCTCGTAAAATCATGAATGGTTTACAGATATCCAGAAATTATGGGTTGAGACATACCTATCTTATTTCACCACATGTGATGACTGTGTCCACACCTAATTACTGTGAGCTGAGACTTGAGAAAAAAGCTCGGTGTCGCCAAAAAAGCCGAGCTGTCTTAAAGATAAGTGTTGTACTTATGGTCCGGTTGTACTCACAGCCTGGGAGATTAGCATCTGGCAGAGCTGTAAGGAGGCTGTGATGGGGCTGCCATGCAACACTGTTGTCACGTCATACAGCGTAGTCTGCTCTGCCACTGATACTCCGTCGAAGTTGATCATCTACAATACAAACACCAACAATATTATTGTCATATTATTGGTTGTAATAGATGCAAACTTAATACGTATTGGGAAAGCTTTTTTGAAGTTTTTCCAATACGTATTAATGTCTCTCATATCATCGGACAACTGGTATTTCAGATCCTTCATAAGTACACTTCTATTTCTTCCCTGAGAAGCAAAGATCAAATATATTTTGTGTGGATATTTCCACAAAGATTAATGTTTACTGGAGAAACATTGATATTACAGTTAATTTTTCATTGCTTCCTCCTTTACGTAAATCCTGTACTAGTGCTGCATATATCCAATTTTAGAAACTTCCACACCAGGATCGTCAGGTTAGCTTTGCATCTGCTTAAAAAAATATAAAAACCGGAAGAATCTGTTTTATTTGTGGTTTTACCTGCGCCAACTGATTAGAGTACTGTATGCACTTCAAGTTTTGCAGGTTTATTACTGTTCTCTTTAATACTTGTATTATTATTGTTATTGAGGATAAATTATATCACTTCATATGATTTATTATTATACATGTGTAAGTAATTTATTATTCTATATGTATAGGTATTGTCAAAAATTCGTATCCTTGAAATATAAGTAGGTAAATTTGCATTTACAACCAATTTGGCTCTCGAGTTGAGCAATGTGCTTTACCGATGGTCGAGACATTTTAAAAACACTTCTTTCTGTGTCTTTTCCCTCGCAAATTACTTAAATATACTGGGGGATCCAGGTGGCGAAGCCCTCCCACCAGTTATAGCCATATTGGTTGGAGATGCAAATTTCCCCGTATAAGTATGGTGAAACATTCTTACCTTAAGCCTAAACTAATAAACAGTGTCAGAGAGAAGCAATATATAAATGTGAATGTACCCTTAGTACTGTACTATGGGTACCTAAAATGAAAAAAAAGGCCACGTACCCTGAGCGCCCTGGTGAAGTGGTCTTGTGTTTGGTTATCGTGTAGGACGCCACCGATGAAGAACCTTCGGGAGGGAGGCGTCGCTCCTCCCACCCTCCTCACAGACGTCACCAGGACCACACACGCCGCCCACTCTATCCATCTGTGGTAGGTTTACGCCTTTATCTTTCTGTCACGTCGGTTTGTTTTGTCACATTGAATGTTTAGAAAGACGTCTAGCAACAGCCAGCGGACTAACGGCCATGTTTACAGTGGGGAGGAGATACGTACTGTACATGTTGTGCGGCGTTTGTCCTTGACCAATACAAGTCACCTCAATCTCAGGCCCGTTTAGGATAGGACGGTCCGACTAATTACCCAAATGTAGCCGCAATGAAGTCAAATAATGGTCCTACAAGCGTAAATCGGGCTGTGAATCACTTCTCGATTATTATTTGGTGTCATAAAGTCACTAAAAATTGGTAAACTTAATTTAATCTGAGTTGTGTTAGGTTAGATTAGATTAGATTATGTTAGGTTAGGTTAGGTTAGGTTAGGTACATGCACTTGATCTATTAACTCAAATTAAATTACGTTTTCCAATTTGTTTTTACTTTGTGACACCAAATACTAGTCGAGAAGTGATTGGTAACCCGATTTACGCTTGTAGGACCATTATTTGACTTCATTGCGGCTACATTTGGGTAATTAGTCGGACCCCCGTAGGACGTTGATATTGAAACACCACGCCTATATAGTTTTATTTAAATTTAGTATCAAAGGGAAATGTACTTGGCAACAACGGGTAAACAAACCGACCCTCTAAACTGCGAGTGATGGTTAAAATTGGGGTGAGCGAGTATAGTATGGTGGTGCTTGGGTTTTTTATTGCGTTACTTGCTATTTATAGTGCGTGGTCCTGTAGGGGAGAGGAGCCACTACAATAGTCCGCTTTCCCCCACGTGTATATGACAAGTTGTTAAGCCAGAGGAAAAATGTGTGATTGTACTCTTAAAAGCAAGTTCTGAGGTAACGAGTGAGCTACTGTGCAAGGAAGCATAAACATAAAGGATGAAATATTGTAATGAAACTGTGTAGAACAATATCTCCGTTCCGTTTTTTAGCACATCATCACACTATCAAAAATTTTATTAATGCCATTAATCAATCAGTGTAATACATTAAACTTAGATATGAATAAGTAATAATTATGAGTAAATTGGTGTAAGGAGATGACAGGCTGAACGGGTGCCAGCAGGTGGGGGTAAGCGTGGGGCATATGTTCCCGTGTGTGTTTACAGCCGTCTAAACTAAGGAACATTATATGTCCTCACCTGCGTCTTTCACCTTTCACAATGTATGTTTCAAATTGTGTAAGAAATGAAGAAATACCGAGAAAAATTAGACGAATACTGTATAGTGAGACCACTGGCGCATTGAGGGGGAGGTGGGTGGTAGCTGAAATCAAGGATAATATACTTTTTTAATAGTCCTTGGCTGAAATTACAGGGTGTTAGGTAAAAATGTACTGGAGGATACTGAACATTAAAAAAATAACAGTGGGTGCAAATAATATCATGCTTGGGGGTGATGCAGCATTGATGTTTGAAATGAACAAACACAAATTGCTCAGAAGGGGAAATAAACAAGGACATGCAGCTGGGAAGCAAACATTGGAAATAACTGATTACTAGACCACCACCAAAGGTTTAAACTGTTGCGGGAGAAACTGAAAATGTAGGAGGGGAAATATGTGAACAACGAAACTGCTCTGGATACTGAGAACTGCGTGATAGTGGGGGTGGGGTATGAACATACTGAAGGGGGGTGAAAACTTTGAAACTTATCATGGGGGTGACAAACACTGGACATACAGGGGGAGAGAGAGACACAAACATAGGCATTTGATTACTGAGGAGCAATGCAGCTGTTAAGTGTTTACGTCTGCCAATAATACAATGCTCCGAAAGACGCAGTATATAACAGCGAAAATTGTAATAACAAAATCTATGAAACCAAACACAATTGTACAAAACTTTAAAGAAAAATTATGGGATACATAATTTACGTTAACTATAACAGCCTACAGAGTCGGTGTTCATGTCCGCATTGTCATATTACAGTACTTTATCTTCACAGCATAGCACAGCGGTTTAACTTCGCACATTGCTTAACACAATAGATTACACAGCACATCAGGTAGGGCTTAACAAGACTCAGTAGGTCTTGACAATACGGATCAACACAGCATGACAAGGGTTAACGCAGGTCAGCACGGTGGTGTGACATCACTAAGCTACCTGGACATTGTGGAGTACTTGGGCTAAGCATCAGTGAGACACACGAGCACTGAGACAAGCTGCCTGGCACTATTGGCATCAGGGACACACTGTGTTGTCATGGGCAGGGGCATACTGCCAAGTGCCTACCCCGACTTCTATCATCCAAACATCTGCTTCCCGACATTATTAAACACAATTTTCCTTGACACTGTTTAGAACCATAAAGTGATTTTAAACTTTTTACTAAGGAAGGAAGTTATTTAATACATTTTTGCATTATATTCTATTCATCTTGTACGCATACTTTTATTATTCACTTGATGCATGAAGACTATCTTTACGTTCATCAATACCTTAAAATAAATTATAAAGTCTGTGTACAAAAATTCCATAGCTAGCTTCATTCTAATTCTTATGTCACTGCCATGGGCCAGGAGAGTTGATGTGTTTGTCATATGCTACAACTTTGTCATACCACATCCTACATCTTAATTGTGTCTGGGTTGGCCTTAAGCACAAGTGTTCAAAATTCCAAAATACTACAGGGTAATCATTTATGGACACCCTGTACTTCACTTGGCATTATTATTCATTTTAGTAAACAAAAACGTTGTGTGAGCTTGAAAATCGAGTTGCAATACAAAAAAATTTTATGATGGTGTCTGATTAATTACATATGCAAAACACCATTAGTGCACAAGTGAATCCAACAAAACGACTACTTAATGCGCCCTCTTAGTGTGATGCACACTTAAGGATGATCAAAATTACATTGCAACATAAGTTGTACAGTTACTTGACCACGATTCCATTACTGAATTTCTCATCCCTTAGGTATTTAATTTCCTTATCACAATCACATTTGATACGAAAGACTTTGAAACATTGACCTGTATATCTCTCACTAGTTTGTCATGGGCTCGAGTCCTGGCCCAGTACACAAGTGGGAAGGGTGCTATCCAGTGTGACCCTACCAAATATCACAGGTTTTCTCCAGTATTAACAATGAATTTCATGACAAAGTGACAAATAACAAACCTACCAACCCAATGGCTAGAAAGCTTATTAGTGGTGAAATGATAAATTGTGTATGGACTGTACAGGTATCACCGAATTACAATGGGGTTACATTCCTGAAAAACACATCGCAAATTGAAATATTATAAATTGGGAGCATCATAACACGGGGTTCAATGGGATACATTGCCAGTCAGTCCAACACCCACATGTATCACCGAAGAAAAAATTCCTACACTAATAAAATAACTACAAGACAATTGAAAAACACTCACCACATCATTAAAAACAAGCCTGGTGATCATCACATGTCCCCTTCGAGGCCTTATAAGGGGACTCTTGTAGGTGGAGTGGAGACGTCACTCTGACTCACACAGCTTCACCTCCAGACACGGTTTCCCTAGGTGCTTTGGCCTCCCAGAAACAGGAGCCTTGCCAACACACTTGCTAGACATTTTCAAAGTTACACTGCTCACTTCAGTCACAAAAACTGAACACAATCTGAATGCTATTGATGTCCTCTCACTGTAAGGGGGAAAAACACCGATGAGAACGTAAACACATTGATAGCAGTCAACACCGCTCACATCATGTTCACAACAGAGGCAAAGCACTTTACAGTCACAAAAAATATAGGAACAATCACTTCCTTCATCAAAACAGAGTAGTGTGTACATTAGTGATATCCTCTCACTGTAAGGTAAAAAAAAAAAAAAAAAATTAAGTGATAAGTAACAACACTGATACTGACTGATAATTATCATTGAGCTACACTATCACAGGCAGATGCGATCACCTTGGAACAAAGAGTGGGAGTGTAGTGCACGGGCTGACAAGTGCAGTAAGGGATGCAATAACATATTCCGCACATCAGCAATTTTGACCGGACGAAGACCATCATTCACAAATTTTTTTTTATCGTAAATAGGGAGATGGTATTAAATTATCACCGTCATTCAAGCAAATTAATGTAAATAGGGAGATCGTATATTGGGGGATACCTGTACTGCTGTATGTTAATTAGTGATGTAAAAATATATTTAGTGTCTATTAGATATTGAATGAAACCACGTGAATGATAAATTAGTAAACAATACAAAGGCTCTGCTGACTGATAAACAGTTAAGGAACAAAGAATCCAAGCCTTTTGATTTTCTGTTATTTGTTTACTATAAGAAATTCTTAAATATAAAAATACTAATTGTCTTCTCTGAGGAATAATTAAAAAGTAAATGATTTCATTTATATTTATTACAAGAAGTGCAAATTGTGAAAATACTCATACAGTATCTTGATACGATATATTAACATGTTTGGTGTCACACTTGCAGTATCCCTTATATCAACAGCACAGTATTAGTGAAAATAAATTGGTTCACATCATAATCAGAGCAATACACTGCAGTACATATACTTAATTTTTTATCATTACGTGCTAATAAAAATTCTTTTTGCAGTACAGTAGATTCAAAATATGTTAACTTTTTTTTTTAAACTTACTGTATAAAACCTCCTCAAAACATTCTGACTGCTGATAATTTCCAAACATTCAAATATCCATCAAAAACTCGATACCAACTCTCAAAACATTTGCCCAAGTGAAGCAGTCATTATTTGCATACTGATTAAAATATGATAAACCAATGAAGGAATTGTTTGCCAATGAGCACATGGAAGGTGTTAGTACAGACTATGAGAGGACACATAGGATGTAAGGAAAATATTGTCATCTTGGGAGGATGGTCTGGGCTTTATGAGGGCCTGACTCACTACTAGGAGAAAGCACAATCACTCTCCCATGGCTATACATCCTTACATGAATAAAATTGACTAATTTCCTCCAAGTTTCAAGTCTACTGTACCTGTACTGTACTTGTGAAAATAAATCTAACAGCATTAAACTTTGGCCAAAGTAACCACTTTTAACAACTGTTGCCTGTTCTGCATAATATAATTTTACATGATCACTGATGAATTGTAAGATAATAATTTTCTTTGACATACAGTTTCTTCAGATGATCTGGTACTGTATAATGTTACTTCTAAATACTGAACTGTAGTCAAAATGTAACACTTCTCATGTAACTCACCTAAAAAAAAAAATATATATATATATATATATATATATATATATATATATATATATATATATATATATATATATATATATATGCAGTAGAATTTAATAAGTGTTAATTTCTAAGTTCCATAATATGAGCCTTTTTTTCATCTCTAATCTTTAGTTTAGTTCAGCCACAGTAATAGCCACACCAGGGAGTCTTTGGTACAGTTTTGTGTTTACATTTACTGGTAACAAATAGTACAGGAAAGATAACAGTTTATTCCAACAGGTTTCTCACACACCAAAATCTTTCTCATTAATAAGAGTAAATTTCAGTATGTAGTTAAGGGTTATAAAACTCTGGTGTGAAGTCACTCAAATAACTCTAATACAGCAGTGATGTGGAAAATGGTGAAAAAGGATTACCAGGAGACCTTTTTAATTAAAATTAGTCTACCGGTACTCTTCAAAGATTTTATAGAATTCAACTGAGTATAAACAGAACATGTTATCAATTAAATACTTTATAATATTCAATGTATTCTAACTTAACTTAAATATTCATGTAACAAAATTGTAAATGCTTAAAAAAAAGTGTTTGTGGTTAGATTCAGTCAACCTCCAAAAGTAACCACTACAGTACACATACAAGCTAGTTTGTTCAGGTTATCACACATGTGTACATTTTGTGACTGGTTCTTTTTAATTGTGATCCTTGGACTATAGGAGTGTAATATACAGGTAATTCTAATATAGTTTGATAATTTGAACATTATTTATCCTGAAGCACATTCTACAGAGCTAATATATATTGAATCACAGTATACTGTACTACTTGTATACAACTAAATTAAAAATTATTTATAACTTACTTTTTTTAGAGAGAGAGAACTAAAAGCAGTCAATACACAGTTAATTTTGTGTGTGTATGAAGGAGGGAGGGAGGGAGGGAGGGGGGAGGAGGAAGATGGTACTATGCCTGTGGGATATATATGAGGTGTGCCTGTGGGTGTATAGTTAAGTCAATCAACTATGAATCTCCTGTAAATCAAATTTACAAACTAAGAAGATGAGGAAACCATATAACACTGCATCATACTCTGAATGGCCAAAACACACAAACTACACACTGCTATAAAATATTTAAATCACCTTATTTACCTAATGGCCACTCAACCTGTGGCTATAATGAGGTAAGGAGGCCAGTGGCCTGTGTAGGATCCCCCCATTTATCTTGATAGTCTTGTCTAAGGCTATTTTAAAGTCTAGTACTGTTTTCAACTCTACAGCTGGTAGACGGTTCCACATTTTGAGTGTGAAAAATAAATAAAATCCATTAATTTCCAACTTTTGCTGAATGTAATAGTGAATTAGGATACTGTATTTACAGTAGGCTCTCGCCAATAACGACTTCCACAATAACGTTAAGTTACAATAGATACCCATTTTCGATAATAACGTCTGGATTCTCTTGAATAACGGAAATTTCGCGGGAAGCGTCCGAGCGCATCAATGATAGTGTTTGTTTGCTGCCATGTTGATGACATAGTTGTCCGCTCCGCCTCACTGTCACACACGCTCAGTGGAATACAGCGCTGCGCCCACGTGTGAGATTTTCGCCTCTATAACCAGTGGTTGTTAGAGTCGGTGATCAATAATGGCTTCTGCATTTTTGCCTGTGGGGGCTAGGGGAAGTGGTGGAGGGAGTGATTTGCCACCTGAATGACTGGGAACTTTTAAAGTGAGGAAATTGAACTGTCCTGAGTCTACAGTGCGAAATATTAAGAGGAACTTAGAGGAGACCAAGAAGAGTATTGCGCTGGCTAAAAATATTTCGATAGTGATGGAAATGCGAGGCGAGCTATGAATGATAAAGGCGATAGAAACAGGTTGTTAGTGATAACAGAGCATTATCTTGTGAAATGGTTAGCTTGTAGAATGAAAGACAGTGCAAGTGTTAGCGGCCCTCAGATACAGAACAATCATCACACCAAGCACCTCAAAAACTCCCCCAAGCTAAGTGTTATATTACTCAAACTCTTTATTTTGATGATTGAATCGCAATTCTTTTTATTTCAGCGAACAAAAAGTGTAAGGAGGGCTTCAAGGGGAAAAAATGGGTGAAATTCTTGTGGCGGCGGCACCAATAAACCCTTTTTACATGTATTTTAATGTCACACAAATAACGTTTTCGCTAATAACGGTGTTTTTCAGGCACCTACTAAACGTTATTGGTGATAGCCTACTGTACATTGCTTAAACACTACATATATTCAGTAGAGTATTCATTTCAGTCAGTTACAAAGTTGATTTGTCAGAGATTTTTCATATCCATTCATACATTCACTTTCAAACTGACTTCTTCTCCAATGTCAACAGTCTTGTGTCACTCTTGGCATATTCCTGCACCTTAACAATTCAATATTGATTAAAATCCTGTTTTACCCATTTTGCTTCTCTTGTTCATGCTCCTGTAGTGCTCAATACAGTACAGTATACAATCTTCAGTAATCTACCATTCAATGTACTCTTCATGACCATATCATATTAATATACTTTCACATAGGTATTTTGCAAAGCGTTTTGTTGTCCCACATATACTGTATTTCACACATCCACCATCATTTCCAACATAGGAAACGGTACTAAAATAAGTATGAAAGATTTATGATAAATCTAACATATTTAATTAACTGCATCAAACCCAGAGGACAGAAAGGCTGGTGACAAATAACATACACAAGGGATCCAGCACAATCTACTTATGCAATAAATACTACCCTGAGCACACACACGGTTTTAAACCTCTATGACAAGTACAGTTACAGAGGAGAAACAAAGGAACATTGACAGCCATCATCATATTCCTTTGTTTCTTAAGCCAACAAGGGGAACAAATTGACACCACACAAATGTAAATAACAAATATGACACACTGTTGTATGTATCTCTATGTATTAATTTTGGTTCACTTGAAGATTCACACCCCAACCCCAAGCATATTTCAGCTGGAGATTAACCACCTTAATGCTACCTGGTGGAAGGTTAATCTTCAGGTGATCCTTACTACCTTCACTGGGTAACTTAATTGTCATCATAAGTAATAAGTTATTGGTACTAGTACAATATACTTCCCTAAGAATGTACAGATAATTCCCAGAATGATTTCTAGAAACAAATTTAATAATGTCAACAACTCAATATCTTAATAATGAAGTCTTGGTAATTTGGAATGTATGGTAAACTTTAAGTGCATACAAATAAAACTATTCAATATGCTCTATATTCACAACCATTAAAATAATATACGTAGGTATAATTCTAGGCCCAGGAGGCACTAGTGTTATCCCAGAACAAAACAGCATAGATTTATACCTGAGGCCAAGTTGAGTTTTAAATCAGGGTTAACTCAATCCTGGGGCCAAGAAGTAGGTTTCCCTTTGAGCTGGGAGATAGAGGTTTGATCCAAGGGTCAAGAGTTGGGAGTAATTCTAGCACAAAGAACCAAGGTTTCAATTTTTGGGCAATGAGATCAACAACTAATTTTACACAAAAGATATGGGCTTAATTTTAGTTATCAAAAGGCCTGAGTTTTGTTGGGGGACCAAGCGATTAAGTTAAGTTTTAGGTCATAAGCCGAGTATAATTCTTGAGCCAAGACATCTGGGATGAAGGACCTTACATATTTAACAAGGAACAGTTTGCTACAATCACTCTCACATGCACACAACAAATTAATCTAAGTCTAGTATGTTACATTTATCATTTAACACTGTGTAATTTAAAAAGTTGTTAAACAAAACAAAACACTTCATAATCTTAGATTTTACTAATTTATCAATCAATAATTACATAAATCACTGTTTATCATATGTCTCCCATGTTCCAAATGTTTTGATTGTAAATAGTGACACTTAGTCTTTACTGAGCCCTAATAATTGGTTAGGACTGGGCCGTACTTGACTAGTTACCTATATAAACTGCTGGACTTATCTTCCAGTTCTCTTTAAGTGACAAGTATTGAGGCTACCACAATATAATTTTACAAATTACTGTTAACTCAATCCAACACAGTGTTATCACTGAGCCAGTGTTTTTATCTTTATCTTAAGGAAAGTACAGTACAGTTTTATGATTTATATATTTAAAATATGTTTTCACGTTTATGCTTTACAGTGACAATTATGAGATGATAAAGAAAAATATTACAGTGTTGTATGCAATACACATAATGATACACTAAATACAAAATACCCATAAGCTAAAACACACATACTGTACATACATACTGTACATTCAAACATATATCTATACAGTCACACTTAGGTACATGCAAATATATACCTATACATTATATCTAAAACTTAAAACATAATTGGTAACAAGCACAATGTCCGTAAGTCTCATTAAAATTATAACAGTAAATATTTTTCCAGTCAGAAATACATAGATGAACTTAAACAATATACGTACAACATTAATCTTCCGTCACTGGTGTAATGTGTCTGGGTATTAACTATGAGTAACTACAAACAAATTATTTAAAATTGTCTCCAAACAAATAAACCTTAGGTACATTCGTTATAAAGATCACAGCTAACATTGAAGCTTTAGGCACACGTGACATACAAATAAACACTAGGTCTTATTTACACACCTGTACTGGGTATGTGACAAAAGATACAGCAAAAATTTTATCATTTCATAAACGATTACAGTTATATGATTCTTCCCTTTAACAACACAAAATAGTTACCAATACCAGTACAGTATCAAGCACCAGTTACATAATCAGTATCCCCAGAAATAGTATTACAAATCATTCAAATTTCCATGAGACATATGAAGAAAAGTCTTAACAGTCTAAGACACTGTGTCACTTATACCCTGAGACAAAACCACCTAAATCAAGTTCCTCAAGATGGTCGACGAGCTGCTGATCTCTGAGACTAAATGGCACTATAATCTTAGCTACATCTCAGAGAATGTTGTCAAAACACTGTACTTGAACATTTTGGCAAACATATTAACTAAAGTATCTCAAAATACTTTAGTCAGACAAATCTTCAACATATTAACATAAAAAATTACTATTACTTGTATGTGAATTACTAAGACTAACATTGGCAATTTATTCTGAAAAAAAAAACCAAGGAATTTAGCTGTGACTAATAGCAGGTTGCATTTAAATAGCTGTATAAACAACCTCTGACTAGTATACATGTTATCTATATAAATTCTAGTTAATATGGAGATTAGTGGAATTAGGAAGTAAGGAGGGTGTGGGGGACGTCTTGCTAACTACTGATCCTTCACCACCAACGTCTTCATTGTTCTTTAGTTTTTTCATTTGGGCAGAAAACTGTTGGAGAGAGACATAAGAGAAGAGAATAAAATACTAAACAGGTAAGTCAGGTGCTGTAATTCAACACAAAGACTAAGTGTCAATTGAAGAGGGACTTAAATTTTCTCATAAATTAACTTCACTATTGATATAAGAACACACTGACAACCAATACACAAAGATCATTAAAAAAGAAAATACCAAAGAAATAGAAAAAAAAACACCTTTCAAATAATTGTAAGCTAGGGCAGCATTTTGTAGCATACCCAGTCTTTATCAGCCATGGTAGATGATCACAGGCCTAGTGCTTTTTATACTTAGATCTAGAAGGGAACTACACTAATGCAGTATAGTTATGTGATTTATGGAGAGCACGTATGGTAAGTTTTCTGCCTCGATATATGTTTGTCTTCCTACATAAGGTAGAACTCATGTTTCCTCCTCCTGCAAAGTCAAGCTGATTTTGAATACAGTAACACAAAACCACTAAGAAAGTAGAAAGGTTCTAGGAAATGTTTACGTGGTTATCAATGAAAAAGAAAAAAGTGTGATATGTACAATTTACCTTATTCGATTCTTTGTGCTTCTTTTTAGTGAAGTCCACAATGCAAATTCTGAAGAAGAGCACTATGTTCATCAGCATGATCATTGCCAGTCCTGAAAATAACAAGTCACTTAATATACTGTACTACTGTATGAGAGGAGAGTCATTACCAAAGCATTAAACATCAGAAACAAAGAATATAATAATAAAGGAACTACAGTACAGTAAGTATTAAAATATCTATAACTAGGTAAAAAATAGAGGCTATATAACCGAGAGCTAAACTACATTGAAAAAACATTTACACTCCAACGTACAGTATGTGTAACAAAACAAAATGTGATAGAAAGTATATTTAAATGCTAATTCAAAACTGCAAGATTCTAATTCTCTTTAGGTGGCTGAAGAGTTTAAACAGCCATCGGTATATCACCTTGTAAGGATAAACTTCCAGTGTTCGACATTTGAAAATTATGAATGATACATCTAGCATAATAATCTAGGCCACTTATCAAGACATACCTGTAGTAGTATATACATAAACATACAGATTGTCTGAAACCTATAGGTACTCTATATATACTGTCGACTGATTTAGAGACAGGTAGACACATACAGTTTAAGATATACTGTATATACCAGATAACTTTTCATTCCTTAGTTTAATCTTACGAACTACAATTACTGACACATACTAAAATATCTTAGATGTATATACTCAACAATGACAGTAACCCTTAGAATATACTCATCAAGAACTAAATATTCAATATAATGAGATGAACAGTAACCATTACATCTTGATGGGCATTTCTCTTTTACACTAGAGAGAGGTATAGTGTATAAACTAACTGCTCATTGCTCTTACCAACACTGCCTAATGTATATACAGGCAAAGAAAGGTCGTCTTTGTGTATAACAATCCAGCGCGTCATCCATCCCAACACAGCAATTCGAAATACTACAAATGTTCCAATGTTGAGCATAGAGTTGAGACGATATCTTGGCTCCTCCTTGCTTGCTCCTGTTATGATGTATATCTGACGTATGTGTAAGAAGACGCTGTTCACCTCAACAAACAGAGCCACCACTGCATACCTGTTGGTTGTTATTTTTGTTATGAACAAATTCACTGTTACAGTTCAACATTGATAATTCAAGCTATAATAATTCAGAATTATCTGCTTGGGCCACTAATATTAATAGACAGTTGTATTAATTAAAGAAACACTCACAATACCTCAAACTTAAGATATAGTTTTGTCAGGAACATGGCACATAGATCAAACACTAGGGACCAAAGGTGTGTAAGGGTGCATGGCTTCCTTCTCTCCCAGTTTCATCAGTACAGTACATGTATGGAGGCCAAGACCCAAGACCCTCATTGTCAACTCATAAAAATGATCATTAATTTTTAAGTACCTAAATATACTGAAGGTTGTATGGACATAAATATCCTGAGTCATTATGCATGATCTATCTCTAAAATTTGTGCTAAACTTGAAATTAAAATAAGCAGTACAAGTCTTTCAAAATACATAATGATGATTGGTTGAATTCTTCTCCCTTTAACTTACCTCAGTTCTCTTACTTTCATAACTTTAAATACAGCAACATATTATGAGAGAATTCAAAGGAGATAATGACCAAGAGTGGAAGATAAACAAAATCTTACCCTACAAACATGGCACCCCAGACAGCCAGACCAAAGCAGCATATGACACACACGTGGTGAACCATCAACTCATACGAGGAACGTTTCCGGTGGCACAGAGCCATATCCAAGAAGTCGTGTATGAAATAACCTGGGGTGAAAGATATTACTTTTGAATACAGTTTTAAGAAATATATAGTTCAGTATAGAAATAATGACACTATGCACTCAATACCACACTCATGCTATACTGTAAATTCTCTATATAAACTATTGCTATATTGTACTGCTATACTGAGTAACGTGTTTCGTTGAAGGAAATGCGAAACTGCTCGGAGAAAATGAGAACTAACAGAAACCTTCAGGAGCTGTAGAACCAGTTGTCTTCCTGCAAATAATTTCTACATAACCATTAAAAGTTCAACTAGATGGATTGTAGTGGACAGCTAAACGCACCCACTTCAGATACCACGCCCACCAAGCCAGGTCACGCACCTCACAGCCAATCAGAGGGAACTAGTAATTTATATGCACACCTCTCCACCAGTCAGATTAGGCCATGCACCTCTATCATCCAACCAGAAGAAAGATCACCCTGGTTGGCTCCTCCCACAAGTGTTTTGATAAAAGGTTTGAAACTTGCATCAAGGCACTCACTCTCTCTGTCCAGCCACACACTCCACCAACACTTATCCAGTGACCCAGTGTAACACCCATCATCTCTGCCACACCAAAACCATGTGCATAACTAATGCCACCAAATAACAGCATTGACCCTGTTTTAAGTGAAACTCGTCAACATTGAATGGACGAATGGACAGACAGCTATATTTATTTTGCTTGTAGGTATCTTCATATATCTCGTGTGCGAATATAATAAACATGTGTAAGTGAAGTCAGTGTTTCTGTTATCCCTTAGCTGGTAAATTATACAGGGTACATGTAACAAAGGGATTTACCTATAGTGGTAACCCCAGAGTGACAGCAAAGGGTATGGCAGCTCCACGCCTAGTGATTTCCACCTTCCACCATGACCTAGATGACTAGCTCTCCTCACCTCATCCCCCGCCAACGACAAACAAAACACCATGCTATGATGGGAGCCTTCCCCACTGATGTTTCATTAGGGTCAAAGAGGCCATCACCAATCCTCCTGAAGAAGGGGCATACACAGCCCTTAAGATTGCCCTCACTACCTGCTTCAAGAAACCACGAGCACTTCTAGCACATACAGAGCCTCACCCTCAGAGACCAGACGCCCACAGCACTCCTGGAGAGCATGCAAGAACAAATTTCTGCTGCAGAATGTCCCTCAACAGCAGCCTCCTGCGTCAGATGCACCTCTACAAACTACCACGTGCTGTCCAAATAACACTGTCCACAATCGTCGACGACTATGGACTGTTATGGTAAAGTACAAGACAGTCAGGGCAACAAGTAGACATACTTCAGACACACTTTCCCTCATCCCCAAGTTGCAAACATGGCCTCAAGTTGCAAACACGGTACATACCGTAGCTATACAAAGTTAATCCTTAATCTACATATTGATTTACAATGCTTCCTATCACCCACTGTGTGCACCAAGTTGACGTAATACATATAATCTAAGCATAACATGAAATGAAACCATATAGCTCTTTGCACTAAACAACTAGGTAACAGTTTGTAATAACAAAAATGATAAGCCATGCGATCAAATTCTGGAGATACGGGCACAGTATATCTATGTATAAAATAATTATTTTTGCATCATCTACAGAGTACAGTATAACCATTATCACGTCTGTTAAACCTATTCTCAAAGAACACAGTGTATTTTATGGTGAGAAACATGTTCACCAAAATACAAGAGCATCACCAAAGTTTTTAGGACCACAAAGGAAATTAAATGATTGAGGCAAATTAAGGATTACTTTTACCACCGTGCTATCTAACATTATGATGGCTTGTTCAATATTCCTTGTAAACATAACAGAAATAAACTAACTTGTTTTAATAAATAAATATCCATATAAATCACAACCCATAAAAGTGTAAATAAAACTATAATTACATCAGAATAATCAAATCAATGTAGTGTTATTTAATGCATAGGAAGCCGAGAACGGGAAAATATATTGCCAAACTGTAGCTCATAGCATCTACTGTATATGTACACCATACTGTACATGTTAAGAAGCAAGACAGAGTAGGGTAAGGGAGAGTAGCTGTAAGAAGGCATTACCTACAGCCAAACATCATACCAGTAAGAGAAGTCACAGGAGTGGATCTTATCTTCTTGCTGTCAGACATTCAGGGAAGAGAGAGAGAGATCAGTGCACATATTACACCCCCCTCCCCCAATTCAACTCCTTTTAGACAGGAACTTTCAACATATAAGCTTCATCTAAATCATGATAAGTAGCTACCTGGTCTGCAGTGATACTTAGCGTTAACACTATGGTAATATGGGCCCCCTCCGATAAAAAGATACTCTCGGTAACATGTCGGTGCATCGGACAACATGATCTGACACATTACATTACTGTACTTCCAGTAGCCAGAGCCACTGAACATGTCATGCATACGCGGTTTAAGGATTAGTGGGTGAACATGAGCTACAATACACGCTAAACCATATCCACTCACCTACTGAGAATGAGATGAGCATGTGTGACGAACTAGTGTATGTATTGATGAGGTCCTCGGCAAGCTTCGGATGTTCGTAGAAACTGCAAAATAAAGTTCCTGTTTTAGGATGATGAAGAAAGTCCATGAATTAGGTTTGATAAATGGAATGTGTTTATACTGCATCCCTTCATTACTTCAAAGAGTGCCTGCTGCTTGGGAGAACATCTGGATGGTTAGATCAACTCTGGAGAAATTCATCCAGAACCAGGTCATCTCAGATTGACTTACACTGCCCTAGACATGTCCTGGACACTCGGGTTAAGATAATAAACCTTTTGACTTAATCGTCTGTTAGGTGGTATGGTGAGGCTATCACCGTTCACAACTTCACATTCAGTAAAACATGCTCCCCTACCCTAGTTCCTACCCCTTAAAGTCATGTTCACTATTTAGAATTGCATAATCTCCTCGAGGTCATTTTAAGTATGTCTACGAGCCCTACGAGCTGCATGACCCAGTGTTTAAGGTCTGGAAGCTGTCGTCAACACAACAACCACACCCTAAGTTAACGAGCTGCATGACCCAGTGTCAAGGAATAGTCCGTGAAGACCGGACAACTGTCTTCTCGGACTTGTATTGGTGATTACTGGACACTTCGCCGTTAGGCTATTTCGGCCGTCTCGGACTTTTTTTTTTCGGACTATATATACGTTGTAGGAGGTAGTGAGCGTCGTGGTGCTGCATGCGGGTGGAATGTGGATCGCCCGGATATGTGAGACGGACCCCAGCTGCCCTCATTTTACTGCGTACCATCTTTTTGTTTACATCTTTACTGAATAATTACATATAAACGAACGTGTGTCTGTGTGTTGAGTGCAAGTATACCCGGGTGTGGCGAGGCAGTAAAGAAGCTGTGGTGAAGCATTCATATTAATAGCCATGATGCGTCTACTGTCGGATACTAAAACTTTTAACACCCACACTGTCCACCCCCCCCCCAACACTACCCACGCCACCCCAACACTTCCATCCTTCTACTTTATATTAATATGGAGGAACACAGCCCCACACATCCAGCATTGGCCAGAGAAGGGAGCCTCTTACTGAACACCATTCATAGTAAGCTGACACAACACACAGACACAAATAGAGACAGACTAACGTATACATAAACAACACACACCAGACAGACACAGATACACACAAGCACAGTTACCCGAGTCCGAGGTCACATTCTCAAGGGTTCCGAGTACAAGGTCACATTCTCAAGGGTCATTCTTAAGGGGTCGGTACATGAATTGTCTTATAACTAGTGCTAAGGAAACGTATCTTATTTAAGGTTAGGTTAAGTTAGGTTAGGTTAGTTTTTTTAGCTCAAGTGTATCAGTTCCCTCACTAAGGTCCGTTCTTGCATCTCCAATAGAGAAAAAATAATAAGGTGATTAAGATAAATACGGCCAATATTTTTTCTCGTAAATGATGGAGGAAGAATACAGTTAATGGCATAAAAAAAGACCCAAAACGGCATTAACGTTTTCACTACGGGGACGCCACTTTTACTATGTTATTTAGCTAATAACTTATTCAGTACAGAGAAACCTCCCCCTCCGCCCCCGTACATAAAGGGTTAATAAACTAACCCCACTATAACCAAAGTGGGTGGACCCCATAGTCTTCACTGTACTCAACAAGGTGGCTAATATTTCAGCGCTGACTATCTATCTCTAAAGGCGTAATTCTTGGGTTCTGCTTGGCATCCAATCTTCACCTTGACTTCACCTTAACGATTACTGGATCACGTGAAAATTAGCCCTCAACATAACCTAACCTAACATAAACTAACGTAAATTAACCTAACCTAACCTAACCCCCTGAGGTAGCGTAAGGGGGTGGCTAATCTTCAGGTGATCCTATTTAGTATGTGATCACTACGAACTCAAAGGAAAACTGAATCTATATGAATCTGATCCTCGAGTCGTGTAAACCCTCAGAAACAACGAATCACTGCACCTGTACGTCTAAAAGTTCTCAGACAGACACTACAACGCGCACACGATTGGACTAGCAGGCCAAACACCCACGCAAGCAAGTAAACATATGTAAATTAGCTGTCGAGTACAATATACCTCTGACAGCGAGCGTTAGTTTGTAAATCTTAAGTCAACAAATATTTTTTCCTCACACTTCAGAATAACCTGATGATTTATTAACTGTAGCCAGGAAATCGAACGAACTAAGAGGTAAACACTGAGGAATTATTAGGTACACTTACGCTACGCTACCACGTTTTCTCTTAACTAATAACCCATGTCCCCAGTTTGTGTGTGTGTGTTAGTAAGAGGGGACGGGCGGCAGGGGGGATGGCGGGAAGAAGTCAGTCAATTCAACATGGGTGCATCAGTGTTGCCAACACATTCTCATCGGCCTCACCAGATTGCACTGTGTTGAATGAGGCCGCACACCTTATGGTCATGTTTTGCTTCTGTCACACCACAATTTGCTTTTAAGTAATCTTCCTATACATATTAACGTTAGATTACGTGTATATCTGAATAGACAATCCATAATAAGTCACTACACTACCGAGAACACCAAAAATATTTAGAAGATATTATAACTGGCAATTATAATTGTCATTGTTATAATTATGTTGTGTGAGTATATAGTCATTACAATATAATTTCAGAGAATATAAATTTTAAGTTAAAAGAGCGTTAAATAATAGATTTGTCAGGAGGCAAGAGCGAGGATCCCGTACAGTCAGGAACACGTCCACCGGCAGTGTTCCTTTATTATGGGTAAAATAACGATATGTTAGTAAAACTTAACTTATTTAATCAATTACATGACCACAAGCACTGCGACGGATTTACACTACAGAGGAGTGACTCGTTTGTAATAATTATCTACTTGTCAACTTTAAACTCCTTATAAAATGATTCCACCAGTCAGTAGCCCTGTGGAGCAATACTTAAAAAAGAAACGTGGCATTTTATACAAGGACAATGGCAAGTCAGTACGCTGTATAAATTAAGACAGGAATATACACTGCGACTCCTGTTATCTAGGTCATGGTCTACTACGACTCCTGTTGTCTAGGTCATGGTCTACTACGACTCCTGTTGTCTAGGTCATGGTCTACCACGACTCCTGTTGTCTAGGTCATGGTCTACTACGACTCCTGTTGTCTAGGTCATGGTCTACTACGACTCCTGTTATCTAGGTCATGGTCTACTACGACTCCTGTTGTCTAGGTCATGGTCTACTACGACTCCTGTTGTCTAGGCGTGGGCAGATGTTCACAAACAAACATCACATGCCTAGTGTAGTGAAGCAACAGGTTGAAGGGGGGTTATTGTTCACCCACGCCAGACTAATGCGCCTCCTACCCCTTGCAGCTGCCGTTTAACACTACAACTTACCACACACGTTAAAGTGATATATACAACCTTCTCGAGGGTGAGAGGAAGATGCATTTGAATTGTTCTGTACCTAAAAGAGCTAAGTTAGTTGATTCATAAAGTGAACTCTATGGAACCACGGGGCAATGTTCGGTCGCTTTCACTCTGTAATATCACCAAAGTGTCGTAACACCTTTAGATTATAACACTGTTATTTATAGTGAAGTTCTTCTTGGCGAGAAGTGAATAATGTGAGAGTGAATGTGACACGACGTGACTTCAGATTTATATTCGAAAAAGCTGGACCATTAACGACCAACCGCCTGGCATTACCCGTCATCCAGTAACTGACGCGCTTATGTTAGATACACAAGACGAATGTTGGCCAACCTTCTATATGTAGTGGTAAGAGGATAATATACAGTAAGCCGACCAGTTTTTCAATAACCAAGGAATTAATCTTTATTTGGGAGTGTTAACACGTGGCAGGTCCCGGCGCCGTCTGCCATTTCGCTCACGGTCGTGTTTGTGTACACCTCCCGCCCAGCAACTAAATGCGTGTGGCCACTTGTGCAAAATGTTAAACGTAAAACAAGATGATAGTTGTGTAAGATGTGTTGAGGTAGAATATCCATTACATGTATTTTACTTCTGCTTCCATAACAAAGAGATAATTAAATGGTTTAAAAGTATCCTGAATACAGTCTGCAATGTCAATAGCAAATTATTTCTGCATTTCTTAATGTTTAATATTAACTGTAGTGATAATAAGGATAAGAATACAATGATCATGCTAATGTCAGATTATATTTACTGTATGTGGTTAAGTAGGAAAGAAAATTATAATGCTAAGGAGACTATAGCCTTTATTAAAGGCAGGATATATTATAATAAATGGATGATCAAGTGTATTTTAAAAGAAAAGTCATCCAAATATTTCACTTACAAATATGTTAATATGTAATATTATGTATACAGTATATATGTAAATTGTATAATTTATAATAATAAAAAAAGATGTCTGTCATATGCCACACCAATAATTTTTGTAGTGTGTGTGTCAACTACCCTGTATTTTCATCAACTAAAATATTCCACCACGTTCATTATCATTATAATTGCAATGAACACGATGGAATTCCTCTTAATATACCAAAATTTATAAATATATATATATATATATATATATATATATATATATATATATATATATATATATATATATATATATATATATATATATATATAACCAACCCAGAACAAAGGTGATAACTATAAAGTTTCACACCCACCAGGCCCCTTTTTCAGACACTACATAATTATAATACAATTCCATGTAGTAAATTCTAAGCACACTCCATCGATTAACCAACACGTTCCCCAAAGATTTATTGTCTAAGGAAAAAATGTCATCCAAGGTATTCTCGCGTGATTGCTGGTAGAAATGATCGGCGTTGACGCGGAGGGAGTACTGTAGTCCCGTATCACGACCTCTCATAATAACAATACAGTATATAAGCCGTCTCTTGGGTGTCGCCACTTTATCTATTTGTAATCATATTTCGCGTCTGAGTGTAAAACATGACTTTTTATATAAGTACTTATAATTATAGTTGGGAATTCCGACGCCCCTCACACAAATACGCGCACCACAAACCACGTGACTGGCCATAAAGCGACCGATCAAGGCTGCCAACCCT